GGGGTAACATCATAATTTTTTACGAAAAACGGTCAAAATTCAACATTTTGAGCCTTGAATGCCATCTGACGGGGAATTTTATACCGAATTCAACAAGATATGACATTCCATATTCAGACAAATATTTTAGCTGCTGTGAACAAAAAACTGATTATTTTTGTTCGAAAAATCAGAATTAAAGAAAAACTATGGACATCCCGGGGGTGTAACACCATAACTTGGTCAAAAATATTCACATAGCAATAAAAATTACTGTGTTGAGCAGCTAATGATCCCAACTAACGACCCCCATCACTTTCCTGCTGTTTTTGAAAGAATAATTTTTTTCCAAAAATTGTGCTATTTTTGTAAGGGGTAACATCATAATTTTTTACGAAAAACGGTCAAAATTCAACATTTTGAGCCTTGAATGCCATCCGACGGGGAATTTTATACCGAATTCAACAAGGTATGACATTCCATATTCAGACGAATAATTTAGCTGCTGTGAACAAAAAACTGATTATTTTTGTTCGAAAAATCAGAATTAAAGAAAAACTATGGACATCCCGGGGGTGTAACACCATAACTTGGTCAAAAATATTCACATAGCAATAAAAATTACTGTGTTGAGCAGCTAATGATCCCAACTAACGACCCCCATCACTTTCCTGCTGTTTTTGAAAGAATAATTTTTTTCCAAAAATTGTGCTATTTTTGTAAGGGGTAACATCATAATTTTTTACGAAAAACGGTCAAAATTCAACCTTTTGAGCCTTGAATGCCATCCGACGGGGAATTTTATACCGAATTCAACAAGGTATGACATTACATATTCAGACGAATATTTTAGCTGCTGTGAACAAAAAACTGATTATTTTTGTTCGAAAAATCAGGATTACAGAAAAACTATGTACATCCCGGGGGTGTAACACCATAACTTGGTCAAAAATATTCACATAGCAATAAAAATTACTGTGTTGAGCAGCTAATGATCCCAACTAACAACCCCCATCACTTTCCTGCTGTTTTTGAAAGAATAATTTTTTTCCAAAAATTTTGCTATTTTTGTAAGGGGTAACATCATAATTTTTTACGAAAAACGGTCAAAATTCAACATTTTGAGCCTTGAATGCCATCTGACGGGGAATTTTATACCGAATTCAACAAGATATGACATTCCATATTCAGACAAATATTTTAGCTGCTGTGAACAAAAAACTGATTATTTTTGTTCGAAAAATCAGAATTAAAGAAAAACTATGGACATCCCGGGGGTGTAACACCATAACTTGGTCAAAAATATTCACATAGCAATAAAAATTACTGTGTTGAGCAGCTAATGATCCCAACTAACGACCCCCATCACTTTCCTGCTGTTTTTGAAAGAATAATTTTTTTCCAAAAATTGTGCTATTTTTGCAAGGGGTAACATCATAATTTTTTACGAAAAACGGTCAAAATTCAACATTTTGAGCCTTGAATGCCATCCGACGGGGAATTTTATACCGAATTCAACAAGGTATGACATTCCATATTCAGACGAATATTTTAGCTGCTGTGAACAAAAAACTGATTATTTTTGTTCGAAAAATCAGAATTAAAGAAAAACTATGGACATCCCGGGGGTGTAACACCATAACTTGCTCAAAAATATTCACATAGCAATAAAAATTACTGTGTTGAGCAGCTAATGATCCCAACTAACGACCCCCATCACTTTCCTGCTGTTTTTGAAAGAATAATTTTTTTCCAAAAATTGTGCTATTTTTGTAAGGGGTAACATCATAATTTTTTACGAAAAACGGTCAAAATTCAACATTTTGAGCCTTGAATGCCATCCGACGGGGAATTTTATACCGAATTCAACAAGGTATGACATTACATATTCAGACGAATATTTTAGCTGCTGTAAACAAAAAACTGATTATTTTTGTTCGAAAAATCAGAATTAAAGAAAAACTATGGACATCCCGGGGGTGTAACACCATAACTTGGTCAAAAATATTCACACAGCCATACAAATTACTGTTTTGAGCAGCTAATGATCCCAACTAACGACTCCCATCACTTTCCTGCTGTTTTTGAAAGAATAATTTTTTTCCAAAAATTTTGCTATTTTTGTAAGGGGTAACATCATAATTTTTTACGAAAAACGGTCAAAATTCAATATTTTGAGCCTTGAATGCCATCCGACGGGGAATTTTATACCGAACTCAACAAGGTATGACATTCCATATTCAGACGCATATTTTAGCTACTGTGAACAAAAAACGGATTATTTTTGTTTTAAAAATCAGAATTAAAGAAAAACTATGGACATCCCGGGGGTGTAACACCATAACTTGGTCAAAAATATTCACATAGCAATAAAAATTACTGTGTTGAGCAGCTAATGATCCCAACTAACGACCCCCATCACTTTCCTGCTGTTTTTGAAAAAATCATTTTTTTCCAAAAATTTTCCTATTTTTGTAAGGGGTAATTTTTTAAGAAAAACGGTCAAAATTCAACATTTTGAGCCTTGAATGCCATCTGACGGGGAATTTTATACCGAATTCAACAAGGTATGACATTCCATATTCAGACGAATATTTTAGCTGCTGTGAACAAAAAACTGATTATTTTTGTTCGAAAAATCAGAATTAAAGAAAAACTATGGACATCCCGGGGGTGTAACACCATAACTTGGTCAAAAATATTCACATAGCAATAAAAATTACTGTGCTGAGCAGCTAATGATCCCAACTAACGACCCCCATCACTTTCCTGCTGTTTTTGAAAGAATATTTTTTTTCCAAAAATTTTGCTATTTTTTTAAGGGGTAACATCATAATTTTTTACGAAAAACGGTCAAAATTCAACATTTTGAGCCATGAATGCCATCCGACGGGGAATTTTATACCGAATTCAACAAGGTATGACATTACATATTCAGACGAATATTTTAGCTGCTGTAAACAAAAAACTGATTATTTTTGTTCGAAAAATCAGAATTAAAGAAAAACTATGGACATCCCGGGGGTGTAACACCATAACTTGGTCAAAAATATTCACACAGCCATACAAATTACTGTTTTGAGCAGCTAATGATCCCAACTAACGACTCCCATCACTTTCCTGCTGTTTTTGAAAGAATAATTTTTTTCCAAAAATTTTGCTATTTTTGTAAGGGGTAATCATAATTTTTTACGAAAAACGGTCAAAATTCAACATTTTGAGCCTTGAATGCCATCCGACGGGGAATTTTATACCGAACTCAACAAGGTATGACATTCCATATTCAGACGCATATTTTAGCTACTGTGAACAAAAAACGGATTATTTTTGTTTGAAAAATCAGAATTAAAGAAAAACTATGGACATCCCGGGGGTGTAACACCATAACTTGGTCAAAAATATTCACATAGCAATAAAAATTACTGTGTTGAGCAGCTAATGATCCCAACTAACGACCCCCATCACTTTCCTGCTGTTTTTGAAAAAATCATTTTTTTCCAAAAATTTTGCTATTTTTGTAAGGGGTAATTTTTTAAGAAAAACGGTCAAAATTCAACATTTTGAGCCTTGAATGCCATCTGACGGGGAATTTTATACCGAATTCAACAAGGTATGACATTCCATATTCAGACGAATATTTTAGCTGCTGTGAACAAAAAACTGATTATTTTTGTTCGAAAAATCAGAATTAAAGAAAAACTATGGACATCCCGGGGGTGTAACACCATAACTTGGTCAAAAATATTCACATAGCAATAAAAATTACTGTGCTGAGCAGCTAATGATCCCAACTAACGACCCCCATCACTTTCCTGCTGTTTTTGAAAGAATATTTTTTTTCCAAAAATTTTGCTATTTTTTTAAGGGGTAACATCATAATTTTTTACGAAAAACGGTCAAAATTCAACATTTTGAGCCATGAATGCCATCCGACGGGGAATTTTATACCGAATTCAACAAGGTATGACATTACATATTCAGACGAATATTTTAGCTGCTGTAAACAAAAAACTGATTATTTTTGTTCGAAAAATCAGAATTAAAGAAAAACTATGGACATCCCGGGGGTGTAACACCATAACTTGGTCAAAAATATTCACACAGCCATACAAATTACTGTTTTGAGCAGCTAATGATCCCAACTAACGACTCCCATCACTTTCCTGCTGTTTTTGAAAGAATAATTTTTTTCCAAAAATTTTGCTATTTTTGTAAGGGGTAATCATAATTTTTTACGAAAAACGGTCAAAATTCAACATTTTGAGCCTTGAATGCCATCCGACGGGGAATTTTATACCGAACTCAACAAGGTATGACATTCCATATTCAGACGTATATTTTAGCTACTGTGAACAAAAAACGGATTATTTTTGTTTGAAAAATCAGAATTAAAGAAAAACTATGGACATCCCGGGGGAGTAACACCATAACTTGGTCAAAAATATTCACACAGCCATACAAATTACTGTTTTGAGCAGCTAATGATCCCAACTAACGACCCCCATCACTTTCCTGCTGTTTTTGAAAGAATAATTTTTTTCCAAAAATTTTGCTATTTTTGTAAGGGGTAACATCATAATTTTTTACGAAAAACGGTCAAAATTCAACATTTTGAGCCTTGAATGCCATCCGACGGGGAATTTTATACCGAATTCAATAAGGTGCGACACTTTATGATTGGGTTATTATTTGGTGAACAAAAAACTGAATCTTTTGGCGAAATATCAAGAAAATACGAATTTTATACCGAATTCAATAAGGTGCGACACTTTATGATTGGGTTATTATTTGGTGAACAAAAAACTGAATCTTTTGCCGAAATATCAAGAAAATACGAATCATTAATCGTTTCATATGAAATTCAATTGTTTTCCCATTTTGCAAATCGATTCATATTTGCTCTATGATCCTAAATATTCACATATGGCAATTCTATTATGGGTCTTTAAAAAAGCCCTGATGGGCTAGCCACTGTAAAAAGCTGCGCAAAAGCTTCGCTCGCTAATCTCGAACAGCTGACTGCAAAACATTTCCTATTGTCGTGTTTTGGGACCGTCGGATTGGCTCAGTCAAATACGAGATACGGAAGCCCAGCGAACGGAGGAAGGCGCGAGATGCGGACGCCGTGCGTGACCACAGTACAAACTAGATTACATTAGGTTAGACTAGCTAAGCCCTAGCTAATCCCAGGCCCCTTTCCCGCTGCCTGGACCCCCTAAACGCTCTACAAAAGCAAGTAACTAAATACTCCCTACTCCCCACTCACCGGGCAGCAACAACAGAAATGTCGATGGAGGGGGTGACGGGTCGGTACGATCTGCTCTGTCACGCTCTCGTTTACGAGCGACGTAACGTGTTTGCGTAGTGACTGGCGCGAGAGAGCCAAACGTGCCGTTATTCTTCATTCATCAATGGCGAGGCTCCCTCCTCCTCCCCCAGCCAAGCCTCTGTTACGTAAAGTCCTTGTGAAAACACTTCCTCTCGCGTTGCGTGAGAGAAAATCTAGGGGCGGACCACTGGGATGCTTCGTAGTTCCCATTTTTGAATGAATTTCGCAATTCGCTAATGTTTCCCCCGCAAAATGTACATATGTACTAAGTCTCGTGCCTGTCAAGAGCCCAATGTGTGCCGCTCGCTCGGCTGACGGTCAAGATCGCCGCTAAGAAATGCTCGCGAAGCCTAAAATTTTTGCATCCCCCCGACTGCCATGTTCGAATTTAGAATTCACAAACTGCACTCATCGTGCAGTTTCAGTGCGGCATTCGGCGCAGGCGAACAGCAGAAAGCGATATCGAGACCCCATAGCCACAGGCCACACACCACAGAGCTCAGAGCACAGCAAGTACCCTCCATATTAAGTACCATGGCCAGCTCCTCCCCACACCGCGCGCAGCCAGTGACCTTCGAATTCTTAGAGAGGCCTCCCCTTCGTCGTCGTTGCTGTCGTTGCTTTGGTTTAGGTTGAGCAATAGTCTAAGACCCGCCCGTTATCCTTCTCTTTTTGGCCAGCGTAAGTCATGGTGCCTCCGGCCTTAAAGCTGTTGCAGTCCTCGCTGGCCCAGTGGCGACGAGGGAGCAAGCTGCATCCCATGGCCAAGGGCGCGCTCACGTACGCGGTCATGTGGCCCACGGGCAGCCTGATCCAGCAAGCGATAGAGGGACGCAATCTGCGTAAGTAATTACTCCGCACCAATCGCATCCAAGATCATCTCCTGCTTCTCATGCGTAACCTCTTCCTTCACTGACGATCCGCAGGCGAGTACGACTGGGCCAGGGCGCTCCGGTTCAGCTTGTTTGGAGCTCTGTACGTGGCGCCCACTCTCTATGGCTGGGTGCGGCTCACCAGCGCCATGTGGCCGCAGACCAACCTTCGCATGGGCATCGTAAAGGTAAGGGCTCAGACTCATTCCGGCACCTCAGCCGCAGCGGACCATGCTCAACCGCCCCTTTGCAGGCCATTACGGAACAGCTTTCCTACGGACCCTTCGCTTGCGTAAGCTTTTTCATGGGAATGAGCTTGCTGGAGCTGAAGACATTTAGTCAGGCCGTGGAAGAAACGAAGGAAAAGGCGGTGCCCACGTACAAGGTAACGCCTATCCCGCTGCTTGCTGCTCCCCTCTGCTCACAGCCAACTCATTACTAACCCTCCAGGTTGGCGTATGCATCTGGCCCATCCTGCAGACCATTAACTTCTCGCTGGTGCCGGAGCACAACCGCGTGGTGTTCGTAAGCATTTGCAGCCTGATGTGGACCATTTTCCTCGCGTACATGAAGACGCACCACGAGAAGCAGTCGGATTCCGCGGGTCTGCCTTGTACATAGTTACGCGTGTCGTATTTGTTACCTTTTGTGCGTCCCTTAGGCCAATTGTTAAATTAGATAGCGTTAGCGTACTTGAATCGGTATTTTAATGGGGCTTGTTAAATCCGTTAGCTATTTAGACAAGGTGGCGATCGTCCCACAATCAGCTGGCCCACCCATAGCGAAGACGAGGGCGAGCAGCTATTCACCGTCTCCACAATCCAGTCCACGTAGGCAGACACCTCGGTGAAGACGCCCGGAAACGGTGGCCGAGCACAGGGCTTGATGCTCCAAGAAACAATACCCACCTGAGTGTCGGAGCCAAAAAGGAGCAGCGGGCCGCCGGAGTCGCCGCTGCACTGGCCCTTTCCACCTTCGGGCAATCCCGCACAGATCTGGCTATCGTGCAGCTGAGTCTGATGGCGCTCGCTGCACTCCGCATCGCTGAACACTTGCAGTTTGACCCTCTGCAGATGCTGCTGAACCACGCCGCCCGTCTACAATTGAAAGATTAGTCAAGAAGCTCGCAAGGGATGGCTTCTCTCTTACCGCATTCAATCCCCAGCCCGCGAGAACAGCACTGGCGTTTCCGGGCGTAACTTGCCGAGGCTCCGGTAGATGCACCGGCTGGACAAACTTGCCCAAAGCGACAGACTGCGCCAGCTGCAGTAAAGCGATGTCGTTAACGTACTTGTCTTCCGGCTCATAGCCTGGATGGACGAAGATGGCGGCCACGCGGGCCACCTGACTGGAGTTTCGCGCCAGCATCTGGCTGCCGTACTGCACGTCAAGCTGGTCGGGCGAGGAGCTGTGCACGCAGTGGGCGGCTGTCAGGACCCAGTAGGGGTTGAGGAGCGTAGCGCCGCAGGAGTGACGGCCGCTCTTCGCGCGGCGCAGCGAGACCACAAAGGGAAACTCCCCCGGGCCAGCTGTAGTGCCGTTGACGATTTTTTCATTCTCTCCGGAGGCTCCTGTAAGAAGCAAGGCAGCCATGTAGAGCAGTACGAGCCTTGCGAGTGAAGCCATGACGGCCTGCTATGTGCACGTTGCGCAGGTGGAGCAGGGCAATTTATGGGTTATGGGGGCCCGCATTTGCAAGCGATTTCTATGTGGGTAGAGCTGGCCATGCAGTTACGGGCTTCAACTATTAACCATGCTAATGAGATGCCAACCGCGCGATTGTGACTCCGCAGGGCCGAGATTGCAATGGCGGGCCCACTCTTGTGGCAAAACTTCAAGGTATTCGTCACCCGCTACCCGATAATGCGCGGCATGATATCGTACAGCCTGATCTGGCCCACGGGCAGCCTTATCCAGCAAACGGTTGAGGGAAGGCGCTGGGGTGAGTCCGCAAACTTTCGAGCATCTAGCTCTCCTTCTCATCTTCATCTTACAGGCACCTACGACTGGTGGCGCGTATTGCGGTTCAGCATGTACGGCGGCCTGTTCGTTGCTCCTACACTCTATGGATGGGTTAAGGTTAGTAACCGCTCACTTGCTCGTTTTGATCCAATCTCAATGCTCTGCAGATTTCCAGCGCCATGTGGCCTCAGACATCTTTGAGGACGGGCGTCATCAAGGCGGCGGTGGAGACGATCTCGTACACCCCCGGCGCGATGACCTGCTTCTACTTTATCATGAGCCTCCTAGAGTCCAAGACGGTGGAGGAGGCGGTCGCCGAGGTGGGCAAGAAATTCCTGCCCACGTACAAGGTGGCTCTATGTGTGTGGCCACTGGTGGCCACCATCAACTTTAGTCTGATACCCGAGCGGAACCGGGTGCCTTTCATCAGCGCGTGCAGCCTGTGCTGGACCTGCTTCTTGGCCTACATGAAGCACCTGGAGCACCACGAGGTGGACGGAGCCATTTGATGGTCATGGTTGTATTTCATAAACAGCATTAAATAAAATAGTAGATCGTAAAATAATTGGAATAAATTAAAATTTAACAACGTTTTGCCATTTTGCCCTAAATACTGGTCACACTGATCTTAACTAGAGGTGTGAAAATATCGATTGTGCATGAGTTTGGTAAATAATTACAGAGTATTAAGTAAATTATGCAGAATACTCACTCTTTCCGAACAGTAACGAGGTAAAAGTAATAAAATAGTTATAATAGAGGTAATAAATAAAAAGTTATATTTTTATAGGACATCGCGGTATATCGACGGAGCCCCACCACATTTCCTATCGACAGTCTCCCATCTCTAGCCCCACCTAGTTGTTGCTGCTTTTTTTGGGTGTGTGCATTGTATTTGTTTACTGACAATCCCCAAAAAAGATACTTCTCGTCTCCAGCTGCGATCCCCTCGAGAACTAGGACAGCAGCATGCGCGAACTTAACAAGCAGCAGTCGCAGGACACCACAGACTCGGGAGTCGAGAAGGGCGACTACCCGCGGGCCACCAGTAAGTGACGCACTCGAGCATGCGGGTTGATCTACAATTGCATCCAATATGGACTTTCCATGCCCAATGCACTTTCAATACACTTTCCAGATGGCGTGGTCTTCGGCGCCATAGTCACATTCGCCAGCTTCTTCGTGCTGATGATGTCCTTCTGCTCACCGTACTGGATCGAGTCCTACGAGGAGACGCGGGCCAGCTTCAAAAACATGGGCCTGTGGCAGTACTGCTTTAAGGACTTCGTGTACCCCAAGTACGCGTTCCAGAAGCAGTTCAACGGCTGCCACAACATCTTCTCCCACGTGAGTATATCAAAGTGGTCGGTTTGTAACCATATCCTGATATTTTCCCCACCCATACAGGAATACTACGTTATCCGTGAATATCTTCTGCCCGGTTGGCTGATGGCGGTGCAGGGCTTTGTGACCATGTCCTTTATCATCGTGTTCCTTGTGCTGGCCTTGCTCTCGCTTACCATCATCCGACTGCCGCTTAAGGCCGTTCTGCAGTACGAGTGGTTGCTCGTCCGCCTCTCCTACATGGGCACCGCCATCTCCTGTACGTATCCGCCTCCTGCTTAACTGGTACCAGCTAAACCCTGATCTCCCACAGCGCTGTTCATGTTTCTGGCCGTGTGCATCTTCGGAGGCTGCGCCTACCGTCGCGACTGGATGATGTACCCTAAGTTTAACGTGCTGGGCTGGTCCTACGCCCTGGCAGTTGTCACCTTTATGCTGCTTGGTCTAGCCGCTCTGATCCTCCAGCGCGAGGCCCGGCAAGCTTACGACGCCCGCGGTGAGCAGAAGAACCTGGTCATGCAAATGGAGATGCAGGAGCCAGGCTACCAGCCGCCGCGTCACCACCATAGCCAGTCGCGCAGCCTGCAGGGCTACATATAACAGCTGCGCGCGCGACTTCAATACATTCCGCTCCGATTGGATCTTAGTTTAAGTTTTCTGACGCAATCTCGTGCCTCGTATCTGCGCAATCGACGCCGTCCAAAGTGCCTTTAACGTTCGATATCCTTCCCAGACTTTAACTATTGATCATATATATCTATATACACGCCGATTCAGCGAATACGGCTCTCTATCCATATGTAATTGTATTTAATAGCACGTACAGTAAACGTAAGATCAGTGCGACCAAAAAGATCCACTAACTTTTTATATATCTACCATTATACTTTTTATATAGGCTCAAAAGTATTTACAGCTTCAATTATACTAAATTCCACCTTTAAAGATGTCATTTTATAAACAAACTGGTGTAGAGACATATCAACATTGAATTAAATGTATTATTTGAACTTACGAAGTTGAATGTGCAGATCAGATTGATCATCTCCGTATTGTTTTCCCTTCATGACCCCCAAGTACATGTTCCTTGTGATGAGGTGCGGTTGTGATCTACCCCTAATATGTTTATGTTTGCCTTATCGAACTGATAGCGACTCCGCTGATTGCCAATTGTTAGTTTGGGCTGCTGCCTCCCAGACTCGAGGCCTAGATTCAGTGAGTTTCGTGCGCTCTGTTTCTTCTCACCTGATTTGCGATGACTGGGCGTTGTCTGCTCGGCTACAGCTACCTTCTGTTTTGGCTTCTCCACTCCTGCACGGCGGAGGAGCTCAGGATACAGGAGAACCATCAGCCGCGCATCATCAATGGAAGCGTGGCCAGGGCAGACGAGACGCGTCACCTGGTATCGATCCGCCTCCTGCGGCACGACAACAACTTCGGAAGCGGCCACATCTGCGGCGGGGCGCTAATCGCGCCTAGAAAGGTCCTGACCGCAGCCCACTGCCTGTACAAGTGAGTAATGATCCCATGGAGAACCCGCTCCCTTCTGATCGGACTAATGCCAGCAGCAATCAGAGAAAGCGCTTTCGGCGGGCCAGTGAGTTCGTCGTGGTTCTGGGCACGCTGAACCGCTTTGAGCACCACAATGGTACCATCGTGTCCCAAGTGAGCTCCATGGCCTACATGCACACCTTCAGTCCAGACAGCATGCGCGACGACGTGGGGATCCTCTTTCTACGCACCGGGCTCCCGATGTCTTCGGGCGGTGTTCACCTAACTGTGGCTCCCATCCAGCTGGCGGGGCAGGTCACGCCCCCCGGGAAGCTGTGCCAAGTGGCCGGCTGGGGTCGCACCGAGCAGGTGAGTCGGATTTGTGGAGCCATAGGCAAGCCACTGAGCATACAGTTTCTCCAACCCTTTCCCAGAGTTCCCTGTCCAACATTCTGCTGACGGCCAACGTAAGCACCATCCGGCACCAGACTTGCCGCATGATCTACAGATCCGGCCTCCTGCCTGGGATGATGTGCGCAGGTCGGTTGCAGGGCGGCACCGACTCCTGCCAAGGCGACTCCGGAGGTCCGCTGGTGCACGCTGGCCGTCTTGTGGGTGTGGTCTCCTGGGGCTACGGATGCGCGGAGCCGGGACTGCCGGGTGTCTACGTGGACGTGGAGTACTACCGCCAATGGATAGAGGAACGCAGCGGGGCTCCCAACTCCAGGGTGGCTCCCGGACTACTCCTGCCCCTGCTGATGTGGTGCTCGTTGTCGTGGCTATGAGCCCCCTCCCTCGTATTCGGGATCCCTCGTAGTGCTTTAGTCTATATAGTAACTATATTCTAAGCTAAATGTTCCTAATACACATACGTACAATGTAACGATAGCTCTAAATCTGATAACCTATCTTTCGAATCGCTTTTGTACTTCGGATGCCACTTCTCAAGTACCAGTTATCTATAAATCTGGGCACTTTTGCAAGAGTCGGATAATTATCGCGACCTTTTCGTATCTTGCCGTGCAATGAAACGCTCTTCCACTCAACAATCAACATTTATTTACAGCGAAACACACTTAGATTCGGAAACATGAGTCAAGGAACAAAGCAGGGTGACATGGGCATGAGCAAGAAACCTAGCAGTTGCGGCAGTTGCGCCGCGAGCAGGGCTCCTCCCGGCGGTCATGCAGGCGCACCAAGTCCTCCGGCTGGCCGTAGGCAATGTTCGGCAGGCAGCGCGACTGGGTCAGCAGCAGGGAGAACTCGCGGTTGCAAGCCGCGTTCTCGATTCGCTCCATTACGCGGCCCACCAGCATATCCACGGCCTCCTTGACGTTGGCTCCGGTGCAGGCGCTCGTCTCGATGTACGGCAGCCGATAGCGGCGGCAGAGGGCTGTCACCTGGTCGCGACTCACCACGCGCAGCTGCAGGAGGTCGCACTTGTTGCCGCAGAGGACCACGTCCGGGTCCTCCGAGTAGGCGTGCGTCCGCAGCTGCGACAGCCAGTTGGCCGTCTCCAGAAAGCTCTTCTCGCTGGTCAGGTCGAAGATGAGCAGGAAGCCCATGGCGTCGCGGTAGAACGCCGTGGTTAGCGACCGAAAGCGCTCCTGTCCGGCGGTGTCCCAGATCTGGAGGTGGATGCGGTGGCGGCGTCCGCGGGAGTTGTACAGCTGCCGGACGCAGAAAATAATAAGGTGATAAGTCACTAGGGATTGGTAGGATATAATTCTTCATGCACAACAGATGTTCACTGGTTTTAAAACCCTCGTGATTTCTGATAATCTACCGTCTAACCAACAGATTCGATGCTTAAATCGACTTCAGTAAGATCATGAGTTCAGTCGAGTTGTCCCATGAAATAAGATAAATAGCCGCTAGCACTTACCAGCCGCTTCTCGCGGAAGTCGATGCCCACGGTGGAGATGAACTGGGTGTGGAACCGGCCATCCGTGTACTGGTATAGGAGGCAGGTCTTGCCCACGCCGGAGTCGCCCAGGACGAGGAACTTGAGCAGGTAGTCGTAGTCGATGTTGGCGCCCGTCATAATGGCCGTTCTTAACAGCGCGATTGGCACGTTCAGGACCGCAGACGCATCCCGTCCGCCTGGAAGCAGGGAATCGAATGAGCGGCCCGTTCCTGTACAGCTCTCCCCAGCAAAGGTTCTCCCCTGCTCCCTGCTCTCTATCCCCTTCAATATCTCGACTTCCCACTCCCCACTCTTCCTCCTCTTTTGTGTAAGACCGGGCTTAGGTTGACAAGAGCGGAGGTGGGGCACTCAAGTCGGGAGGCATCTTCATAAGCGTGCCCCCCACCCACTGCCAACTGCCACCCCCATAATGCGACCCACTTACCCCACAGCACCGAGCCACACCACACACACGCGCACACACATCTTGCCGCACCGTGGCAAATATTTGAAACTCATTAAATCCCGATTTATTGATTTTCTGTCCCGTTCCCGGCAAAATCCAGTGTGTGGAGTGGGTTCGATGGGTCAGGCTGGCCAGTTCCGCATCAAAGGACAAGCCGATCGAGAATTCGAGCATTCCCGCTGGAAGCGGTGTGCAGCAGAAAGCGAGATGATAAGGGGCAGTAGAAAGTGGCAGAAGCACGGGAGGGCTGCCCTAGCCCCGCTAATTAGACCAACGGCCAACGTTGAAAGGAGTGCCCCGAAGGGCAGGGGGAGACGTGCAGCCTCTCTGCAGCCTGGCGTCCTCCTCGCGCTAAGCGGATTATGGACGCAGCCTGCGGTTGAAGTGGTTGCTAGACAACGGGGCCTCCACCACTGGAAGGCAGCAACAGAGATCGAAGTAATAACTGAGTCACCTCTCCCTCCACTGGCTTCTGCGCATCCCGAGTCCAGCAGCACTCAGTGGAATCCTGCCTGCTGATGTCTTGTAATCTAATTTCCTCTTGTTTCCGGCTGCTGTCTCCTGTCTTCGGCTTCCGGCCCCCACTTCCGATTCCGCTGCCTCGCAGAGGGAGCACGCATAGGTTACACTTGTCTGCTGCTCGCCAAGTCTCACGGGGAAGGTGGAAGTTGGAATGTGGTTGGTGGGCAAATCGAATTAGCATGCACGCACAGCCATGGCCATCCCACTCGGCTGACGGTTAATTTTAAACACTTATTGATTCGCAAGATCTTGCGCGGCTCAGGTGGGCCTAGCAACGAAAATAGCCTCCCGTTTCCGGGGTGGCGTTGGGGTGGGGGATGCTAAGCCAAGTAATGGCAATTAGGCAATGGCAAGCCACAAGGCCTGCACTCAAGGCCGTCCAGCTTCCTTTCGTCCTTTCAGCGCGGCCAGCTGCACTTGGACAAGGACGGCTTCCAATTAAGGCTGGGCAGCAGTGCCGTAATTAGCTGCAGCCATTCGCTGCTGTCGCGCGATTAAAAATAGCCACCACAACCGCCACCGCCACCTGCTCAGCTCACCTGTTCACCGGATCCGGCTAATTGCAGAGGCTCAGGAGGCGCGGCACGCATTTCTGCCCCAACGCCCGCCGTCGACTTTGGCGCCCAAGGCGACTTCTTTCGCCTCGCCACTCCAGGGATTCGGAAGGATTGCGATTCAGCTGACTGTGCTAGACTGGCGGGCAACCGTTATTTTTAGCGCGCGCAATTCGTCTGCGCGGAGGCCCCCCACCACTTTGCGGAGGCTGGCTAAACGAAAACAAGCGGCCCACGAGGACTCCGAGGCTTTGCGGATGCTGCGAGTCCGGACGCAGAAGATCCTGTGGGCGGTGCGCTGCCCGACCTGTTGCCATGCGCTGCCCAGCACAGACTACAGGACTCTTTTTGCCAACTGGCGGTCCTTTTGCCGAGGCACAGCTTTCAGCCAAAGCTTGCGTCAGCTTTCAGGGCGCTTACGCGGCGCGACAGGTGCGCCGCCCAGGTGTCCTTTCCCACGGGAACTGGGCACTTCGAAAGGCTCTCGAGACATAATCCTTTGGGCAACTTTTAGAAAGGGCTTTGAACAGAGCTTCCGCGGGACGGCGGCTAAGCTTTTCTCTCCACCGAAGGATACAAAGTCAGGAGTCTATCCCATGCTGGAATGGTCCGGTGTCTCTACAGTTGAATGGGGCACGCACTGTTCATTAATCAAATTTCCCTATTTTAGTAACGCTGTGGCTACACTTATGAGGTAAATTGCAATCGAAAAATCGAAGTTTGCGCGCCCAACCTATCGATAAGTATCGCGTGGAAGTGCAGTGCTGTAAAGCGCCGCAATCAATCTGCGCGGATCGAGTTTCTTGCGATTTGCTTTGTTTTCTTTTTTTTTTGAATCGGTTCGGAGACTCTGCGGTTGAGGTTTTATTCACTTTTTATTGACCATGGACAACGCGAACTCAACTTTTCACATGGAAGAGTTCGACTGGGACGCCATCAACGTGGGCGACTACCAGTTGGATCACTCCCAGAACTTTTTCGGTGCGTATGCAGGCCTTAGCGTCCAAGCTGAAAAAACGCGCCATTTTTGGTCGACTTTTGCTGACCATTTTCCGCATTACCCACCAGCACGGGCCAACAAGGAGAACAACAGGGGCCTGAGCAATGTGAACCCCCTCCAGCTATGCCCCTCGCCGCAAAAGATCTGCCGGGAACAGCGCGATAGTGACTTCGGCAAGCAGTTTAATGCTGGGGATCTCAAAAAGGAGTCCCCTAAAGACGTAATAGAGGCGTCCAAAGATCGCCCACAATCGATCGCCCAAAAGGCGCCCACAATCGAAGCTAAAGTGGAGCCCCAAGATGTGCTAAAATCCGAGCCCAAAGCAGAGCACCCAGAGCCCCAGGATGATGTTAAACAAATTGTTCCGCTCAACTGGGGCAAGGATGGGGATAATGATGAGAAGCACATGACGGAAGCCGACCAGCACTTGGTCCGCCAGGAAGACCGTCCCGCGGGCAAGCTGCGTCTAGAGTGGTCGCCTCTACACCAACGAGAACACGAGGGAGCCGCCGTATCTGCCGTTTCTGCCGCCCCCAAGGCCTACCAGTTTAAAGACGTGTATGAGAGCAAGCGGCAGCAGGCGATGCGCAAGCGCAGCGAGGAGGAAAGCAAGGCGCGCCAGTTCCACAGCCGACCCATGCCCAACTTCAAAGCCATGCACAAGCGCATGAACGAGCTGGTAGTCATCCACAAAATCACCATTCCACGGACGCCCGAGACGCTTAAGCACAGCCAGTCGAACGCGGAGCGGCGTCACGATGAGGACCAGGCGCGACATCATCCGGCCGGCACCCACCCCAGACCCTTTCATCTGCGCAGCGAGCAACGCGTGCGCGACCGGCGGGAGTTCGACTCCGCCGTGCAGGTCAACCTGGAGCAGAAGAAGAAGGAGGTAAAGACTAAATCTAATATCAATTAAGTATTGGGGCGCTGGTGGTGGTTCAGAACCTATGTAGATTATTTTTGAGCTCAGGGCCGCCTATTTAGCCAGTAACTTGACGGGTTAGTTGTTCGTGCATTTTTCATGAAAAGCTTGTTTCACTCAATGTAATAAATGATATGCAACTGACACTCTTTCGAGGGCCCACTGTAAGCAACGTTCGTTACGTTTAAAATGTACCTTCGCACAACTACGCGAAGTTTTCCAACACCAAAGCGCCGGTTTTTAGCTGCAATCCGCGAGCGGCCACACTGCGCTCGCAAAAATAACGTATTTCTCCAAGTGTTGCTGCAGCCCCAAAACCCCTCCTGCGCCCAAAACCGAGACCCAAATACAAGGGCCGAACGGAAACGATCCAGGAACGCCCCAGTTCGCCAGTGCAGCAGGCCCAGGCCGGGAATCATACGCTCAACCAACAATAACACAAGGCGGTGGGCAGAGCGAGAAAGAGCGAGCACAGTTTGTTTTTGTTGCTGTGGTGTGAGTGAGTCATGACGTTTCGGACGGCGTAGAAAAGCCAGTTACAGTCAACCGTCGAGCATTGCATAAAGCGGGAGCTGTCGCCCTGCATTTCGGAACCAGGATCCGCCAATCGCCCCAGTCCCTCACCGTTTGCCAGGACCTGCAACAGCTGCGCCCAGTCCGCACACTTGTACACACACACACACACACGTACGCACGCTCGTACACACATTTCTTGAGGAGCAGTGGCACCGAGTGTCACACCATACACACACGGCGCGAGCGCACACACACCATTGCAGTTACACACGGCAGTCTGTCGTCACAGTTGGCTACATTTCGACTCGGATTTGGACTCGGACTCGGATCGAGCTATCTGAGCAGCAACTTTCGCCGCACTTGAAGTCAAGCCCAAGCCCAACCCCAAACTCGAACCCAACCGCCCATTATCGTCATGGTGGATCGCCTGGTCAACTCGGAGGCTAACACCCGGCGCATCGCCTCTGTGGAGAGCTGCTTCGGGAGCTCGGGCGTGCCGCTGGCTATACAAGGCCGCGTCCTGGTGGGCGAGGGCGTGCTGACCAAGATGTGTCGCAAGCGGCCCAAGTCGCGCCAGTTCTTCCTGTTCAACGACATTCTGGTGTACGGGAACATAGTGATTGGCAAGAAGAAGTATAACAAGCAGCATATCATGCCGCTGGAGGAGGTGTCGTTGGAATCTATCGCCGACAACCAAACGTACAGAAACGGTTGGTACATCCGCACCACCACCAAGTCATTTGTGGTGTTCGCGGCCACCAGCACCGAGAAGCAGGAGTGGATGGCCCACATCAACAAGTGCGTGGAGGACCTGCTGCGCAAGAGCGGCAAGAAGCCGGTGGAGAACCACGCCGCCGTCTGGGTGCCGGACACCGACGCCAGCGTCTGCATGCACTGCAAGAAAACGCAGTTTACCTTCATCCAGCGCCGGCATCACTGCCGCAACTGCGGTGCGGTCGTCTGCGCCGGCTGCTCGGCGAAGAAGTTCCTGCTTCCGCAGCAGAGCACCAAGGCGTTGCGCGTCTGCGACGCCTGCTACGAGCGCTTGAAGCATGTACCCAGTTCTCTGGGCTCTGGCGAGGACTCGGCAGCGGCTACCGGTGCTGCCTCCGGCAACAAGCTCAACACAACGGCCGGCGACAGCTCCAACGACGAGGACTCCGACGAGGAGACTGCCTCCCCTGGTGGCGAGTCGCACGATGAGCCTCGCTTCTACGGGGACAACAGCGTGCTATCCGCCGTCGAAGACTCCTCGACGATAACCTCGCCCTCCTCCGTCACCACCGGTAGTTCGGAGGCTCCCCAGGTGACACCGAGCGTCCAAAGCCCTCCTGCTGCCCTTGCGACGACGGGCAGCCACTGTTGAACGGACCACATAGCGAATGATTATGGTAGATATCAGTTAAGCTCTCCCCCACTTACAACACACATCCAGCTACCGTGTAGACACGAATCATTGCATTAACAATTAAAATCGGCCCAGTTCATTTGGACACCCGAAACTTTCCGAAATTCCCGTTATCTTCATTGCAAGTCCTTCGGATTAAAGTCCTGATCTTGTATTATACTCATGCGTTAGATGGGCGTACAAGATTTGAGGGTAATTAAGTTCTATATTTCTCGTGACTGCGACCTTGCTGTGGCTCCGCTTTGGTTTTTTTTTTGTTTTTTTTTTGTCGTCTTACATTTTCCGCGAATTCCGCTGAGCGCGATAGCCTTATCAGCCAAGTGGCTGTGACGGTTGCTGCTGCTCTATTTTTCGCTGGCAAACAAACTGACTGATGATGTTGGATGTTTCTCGTATCTGCTCACAAGCAGCCCTTTCCAGCCCAGCCCAAATGCCGGCTTATCGTTCTGAAAATCCCGGCGTGACTCAGCGGAACAGAGCAGCCGATATGGCAGGGTTAGGTGGCCAGTGGGAGCCCATCTATACCTCCGGGCGCTGGATGAGTCAAGCAACCAGTCATCCATCCGTCTGATAGAGTGGCCATAGGCAAAGGTTGCGTATGCAAGGTCCAGCCGTAATTAGAATGCACTTAATCACTCATCATACAATTCAATGCTAATCCGTAACCCTCTCCGCCTTTGCCTTTGCAGCAAGACGAACAACGGAAGCGATGCGAGCAGGAGGAGTTTAAGGAGCTGCGCAAAATGACGGCATTCAAGGCTCGTCCGAATCCATTTAAATAGTGCTCGACGGAACCAATCGACTACCAAACGTTTGAAAGCCCTGTCCAAATTTGAATGATGTGAAGTCGATGCTACACATAATCGTGTTTATACCGATGCATAGTTTTACCAGATTAACACAATTTTTGTCTCTAACATTAACATTACTTTTACGCATATATCGTTCCCGTTTTTGGCGGATAAGAACCACTAAAATCGTATGTTTGGCGGGAGGATAAAACTATATGGATATGTATACAACATGAGCAATTTGCAATTGCGATCATTAACTGTTTTCTATTTGTACAAAGCCGAAAAAACAATAAATTAATACTGTAAATTGAACAAACGGTCAGAGGTATGCATGTTTGCACATATATTGTCCGTCCTTCTCTGCGGAACAGAATGAAATGCAACAGCGAGAGCTGGTTATCCCTCTCTAATCCGAAATTCATCTATTTTCTTCGGAAATGTACATATGTATATTGGGAAATCTTTTCCCGGACTTTGCAGCGACCAAAGCAGCAAACTAAAGAATGGCGTTTGATCGCATGATATCGTGCATGGTAGGGTGAAAGCACGTGGTAATAAAAATGAAAACACGAGGAGCTTAGATATAAACAGAGCTGTTTATTTATGCCGTGGAAAAGGCGATTGACAACAAAACGCTGTGCTGATGTAGTGCCATCTGGGGCCTGGTCAATTCCTTAGAACTGGCCGTCGCTGCCCCAGGAGGTCTTGACGGTGTCCTCGTTCCAGTCCTCCACTCCGCCAACGGTCTCGGCGGCAACCTCATCGGCCCAGTTGGTGGTCTCCTCGACCGGGTGGTCGACTGCCTCCTCGATCTTGGGTGCGGGCAGCAGCTCCTTGGCGGCGGCCTCCTCCTTCTCGGCCTCCTCAGGATCGCGGTAGAAGAACAGATCGACGACCACGGGCCACTCGACGCTGCGAGAGATGGTGCCACGCAGGCGGAGCACCTCGCGGGCCAACAGCCACCACATCAGACCAATGGAGTGGGCCGACTTGTTGTTGCACGGAATGGCAATGTCGATATAGCGCAGAGGCGAGTCGGTGTTCGTGAAGGCAATCACGGGGATGTTCACGTAGCTGGCCTCCATGATGGGCTGGTGATCGGTGTTGGGGTCGGTCACCACCAGCAGACGAGGCTCGCGGAAAGCGGGCTGGATCTGGTTGGTGAAGGCACCGGGAGTGAAGCGGCCGGCGATGGGAGTGGTGTCTGTGTACTTGGCAAACTTCAGCACAGCGCGCTGGCCGATCGGACGCGACGAGATGACGAAGATCTGTGGGAGAAGTGTTAATTAGAATATGCTCTATTTGTTAGGGAATAGGGGCAATCCCTCCGAGGCGGTGAGGCGTGGCTTGTCAGCAGTGAAGTTGAAATCATTGAATTTCATACCCGAAAGATTAGTAATAAACTCATCACACGTTGGCCACGCCGCACTCAAAGAGCCCTGGAATTCTGCACTTGTACTCACGTCCGAGGGGTTATCGATGGCCACAATGGCGCGGGCCGCCAGCTGCAGCTTTTCCCAGGTCTTGCCCAGGTTGAGGATGTTGACGCCATCGGCGCGGCGCTTGTACACGTACTGCTCCATCTGGAAGTTGACGTTCTCGGACCCCAGATGGGTGGTGGCCACCAACATCTTGGTGATGTCGTCCTCCTTGAGGGACAGAATATCTAAGCCTCCCGACATGTTAACGTGAAAAGAGTTACGGACCTGTGAACGATAAACGCAAACAATTAGCGGGCATAACCTCAAAGGGGCTCCACGTGGGACTTGACGCCGGTGCCGCGTCTGCTACCACAGGCGATATCACGCGCAGGCAGTCGGTTGCACCCAGGCGAAACCTATTTCGAAGCAACATGGGAGTACCGCGGCACATTTGGAGATCTGGCGTTCGGGATTTCTTGCGTTTAGATGCGTGGGGCCAGTCGGCGCAGTTTAGAGGAGACCCGGGGTGCATTCAGGCGTCGCTTGGTGCAGGCGCGATCCCATTTCGAAGGTATTTCTGAGTATTTTGGAGGAGCTCGCTCTACTTACGTCTAGATGCCGCTGGGAGTTTTGACAAAATGGCCGATTTCCGGGTCGAAGACGGCGAGGTTGGCAGGCAGAGAATCGGTGTTGTGTTCGCGTTTTGCGGCTTTTTAGCACGACGCGTTGCGGTCCGACTTATTGGTTTTTTTTTCGTCGGCGCAGCGTAGTCACACTGGGAATCAGTTTATCGGTATTTTCGCGCGTTTCGGTAATGCCGAATGTGTAAGGATTTAAGAGCGCGGTCTTTTCCTGGCCCATCGCTAAAAGCATGGTGAATTTCGGAGTTCAAACGAGGGAGGGCGGATGATTTCATGTACCTGTGGTAAGTGAGCCAAGCTACCGTAATATCTAACCATCCCTGTCTGCTGCAAATGAAAGACGCAATACCTTTTGTATACACATTTATTGCAAGTTTGTTTATATTTTAATTACGTGTATGTTCCTCGCCATCTGTAACTACCACAACAATGTACGCATATTCCATTTGCTTAGATTATGTACGTGAAACGCTTCTTCTCTCGATCCGCTGGCGTGGTTAAAAAATTGTGTCGTGTTAGTAACTTGAAATACGATCGGCTATCGTGCCGTCCCGTTCGCCCCTGCGCTCAGGTGCTCCGGGGGACAGGAGTTGGCGACCGACTTTTGTTTTTTTTTTTTTTTTTTGGATTGAGATTCGAATTCATCCCCTCGTTCTGCACGGGGAGGTATACATATCTTTTGCGTTTAAAAATTGATTCGACTTCAATTGATGCTTGTGATTTGGTTTCTGTTCTCCGCAGCTTTCTATGTATGTTTAACATCTAACAAAATGCACTCGTTTTTCGTGTTGGTGTGGGTGTCTGGACAGTGTGACTGTGTGCACGCTTGTTATTCGCACTCGTAACTTAGTAACATTAATAATATATTTAAAAAAAAACATCTTTTTGTATACATAAACCTTTTTTTGAATGCTTTTATCATTTGTCGTGATGTTTAGCTTATTTTCTTTGGGTTTAGTTTTAAATTACTAACTACTTATATAATGTAATGTTAACTTGTTTTACTTGTTTTAATTTGTCCGTAAAGGTTTTGTTTTCACTTCTCTTCTTCGTTCTCCCCTTCTTCGACCTTTCTTGCATTCTATTAATACTATTTGGTTGACTGCAACATCATTTTCATTTTCCAGTTTTCGATTTGGCTTTGCTTTGGTATCGACTCGCTTTGTTGGTAGTATTCGTATAATAAATTTGAACAATTTGTCTTAAAAAATATATACATATACGTAATAATTAACATTCGCTATGTCGTCCGCTTGAACCATCCGTATCTTGTGTATAAAATATTTCCACTACAAAAAATCACTCTTTTGCAAATAAAACTCAATAAGTTTCTTTGTTTTGTTTTCTTGTTTTCTGTTAACATTGTTCTTGTTCTTGTTGTTTTTTGTCTGTTTTTGTCACTGTCAACTCTCGCTGATTTTTCTGCCTACTAGTTAGTTCGTGAGTCCCTTAGTCCGTTAGTCGAGTGTTCTGGTTGTAGTGCTGTCTCGCTCGTACCGCTCTCGTCGTTTTGAACGGCGAGTGGGGCGTGGAACATAATGGTATAACTGTATAACGGCTTAAACGAACAGAGATGGCGTTACGTTAACGAAAATAGTCTCGAAGAAGCACACGCACAGCTAAACGGCCGTGCGTGTTTGGTTGTCTAGTGTATATTAAGTTTTGTTTAAATTTGCATTAGTTAGTTCAATTTTTCGTTTACATTTACGTTCCGCGCTTGCTTTTAGTATTGGTGATCCTCGAGGATCGCTAAACACTTAGAAGACACACATAAATAAATACCAACACAATACATCTCCTTCAATTCGTTAGTTAGCTCATTAATTATTTACGTCGCGTTTTTAGTTTAAATCGTTTAACCTTTGTACATATTTAATTCGATTTCAAGTTTACTTTAAATCTGATTTAAGCACGTTTTGCTCGCCACAACAACAATGCACATTTATAAATATTTTTTATCTCTTCTAGTTAGGTGAGTGGGTGAGTGTTTGAGGGGTGAGGCGGAGGTGTGCAGTGGGAGAGTTGAGAGACAGGAGAGAGAGTTTGCCATAACTTTCACATGCAGGAGTCGCTCCAGCAAGCGAAATTCTCATTTGCCTTTGCTCCTTGCCAGGATGACGAGGATAATGGAGGATAGTCGTGTGTGGGGGTGGGGACGTTTGGCTCTCTCTCAACAAGCAAGCGAAATGAAAGTGAAAGCGAAAGTGGAAGAAACAAAGGAAAGCAGCTAAGCGGGCGGGAGAAACTAAAATGAAGCCTTTATAGTAGTCGTGTGGGAATCTCCTAGTGAGATGAAAATTTCGTGTTGGCCTTGCTTTTGATTCTTCTTGTGTTTTTATATAATTTTTATATCAAAAACAGAAAAATATAAGATACATATATGTATATTCATATGTAAATATTTCTTGTTTGTTCTTTAAATGTATATGTATATGTACGTGTATATGCAATAACATTTATATCGTCGTAATCATAGGTAAATACATATAAATCTGTTAATGTGTACATTTAATAATGGGCGTGACAACCGGCGCCTGTTCTCGTCCTCGTCCTCGTGTTTGCCTTCGACATACGCTTACTTGAATATGATTCGTAAATATTTACTATCCAAAAAAAGACAACAAATGAAACAGCAATCACAAACAATCAAACGGATTACATACAAACATGGCCAACTCTGGGTTGGACCTACGCCTATTCCTCTACTGCTTCTTGTTAACGCTTAACAGTTCAATCGTCAAAAATGCGACGGTTGATCTCCCCAACTTCTCATTTAAAACTTCGTTTATGAAATACTCGTGCGGCGGCTGGTTGGCTTTTTTTTTTTGCTTGTTAGCTTGTTACTCCCCATGTTCCACTTAGTTTAACGCTTGGTTTACATTTGGTTTGGTTTTACATTTAGTTTAACTTTATACAATCTTTGGGCTTTTCTAGGCTGCAAATCTGGGCTTAGTTCTTGATTCTGGATTGTGGATTCTGGATTCTAGATTCTGGGTTCTCTATCCTCGACTATCTACTACTGACTATCGAGTTGTGTGCGGTTTTCGTGAGGCGCTTTGGGTTCATTTCTCTTTCGCTATCTCGTCCCTAACTTTCGAAAGCTTTTAGTTCACATTTTGTTTGAAACGTTGATTTTGATTAGACGTACTCGCTGTAGGATGGCACTCCGGCACGATTGCGAATGTTTGTCTAGTGTGAGTAGCATGCCCTCCTCCGTGGGCAGGTCCAAGTGCTCCAAGTGCTCCAAACGCTTCAAAGCACTGTCTCCATCTCGGCGATTTCCGTCTTGTACGACCTGCGATCCCATTACGATTTGGGTGTTGGGTTTGCAAAGAGAGAACGGGTTGGATCCCGAGTGTTAGTTAACGGATTCGGCACCGTGCACGCATCGCGTAGATATATGCTACTGCTACGGAACACCAAGCATGCTTAACGGATTAACTGGTGCAGGACATGCGTTGCGGGCTACGCTAATTAGCATGCCATCCAATGAAAAATGTGACAAATTGTAATCAGGTCTCTTGGGGCTGGGCGATGGGTAGATGGGCAGATGGGTAGTTGGGTAGGGGATGGGATGCTGGAATACTGGTAGCAGCTCCGATTGCCAACGTGTGCGGATATGTGTGTCAAGGCAGAAGTCGTGTACAGCGTGTCAGTGTGTGTGTTGCCGTGGAGAATCAAAAACATTAGCAGTACTGGCGGAGGGGGCGGGGGACAAGGTGGATGCGGATGCGATGGCGCAAGACCTGGGCATCATCAATCAATCAGGGTCCAACGGGGCGAGCACTCAAGGATTCGCATGTAAATAAATTAGTGCCAAAAAGTAAATGCGAAAAGCGAATCATCGAAAGGGGCGAGCATTGGGATGTGAGGTCGGAGTGGCCGTCACACGATCGGACAGGTGTTCCATTCCAATAAAGGGTTTTCGGTTCCCCCTTTCCCCTTGGCATCACTGCTGTCCGTTGGCCATCATCAATTTATCAGCCCGCATGCCACGCCCCCTGTCTCGGGCCAAATATCCTGGCTTGGCTTTGAAGTATTATCCACGTTTACCCGGACTCCCAGTTCTCCGGCGAAATGCAAAATGCGTGTACATACGAGTGTTTTGGCTAGCAATTTGGGGCGCTCCCGTACCGCCAACCTAATCTGGAGAACTCGAGAAGTTTCGTTGTCTCTGTTTTGGTGCGGCGTAAAACTGGTTAACACGAAAGCCAAAAGTCAGCACGTGGAACGTGTTCTGGGAAAAACGGATTCACTGCCATCCGTAACGATGAGCAGCCACCCTGTGAATGCGCCCTCTCGCCACCTGCAGGATGCAGGGCGCAGCGGGAAAGGCCCACACCCAAGTCCACAACGAACCAAAAGCCGACATAAATAACTATCCATTCGTGGCGTTGGATAAATCTTCGCACGCCATAATGCACACAACAGACACTGAGCAGGATAGCGGACGGAGGACGGATGACTAAGAACACCGTACAACAGACACGCAACCGCATAGAACAACGCTCCACCTGTTCGACCACGCCCACCACCCCATGCCAATTCGCCGGAGCAGGTCTCGGACTGTTTACCTGTTAGTAATTAATGCAAATGTCTCCTAGCATCCGAGCTGGCACGGTGGATGGGATTTTGGAAACAGGACACAAAAAATCAGACCCTTGACTCGGGCTTACAAAAAAAGGGGGAATCAGAGCTTTCTGGCCCGAAATAGAATGCGATATACTTAGTTCAACAAAGTACAGATATAATCGGTGAACATTGTACAAAACCACTGTGCACCACCACAAATCACATTGCCAAACAAAGGAATCGAGCAGGAGTCCAGAGGAACTCGACCGCCGTGTGCTCGAAGCAGCGACCACCCTGGAAAAGGTGCACACAGTAAAGTACCTGTGAACAGAGACTTTTTACTTTAAATTGTACTTTATCCTTGGAATAAATGGTCTAAAGAGTTTCTAGTAAAGCGCAAAAACATCCAGACCCATTAAAGACTGATCGCCATTGAGTACAACTTAGTCTTTTACCCCAGAGCACCATCGTCATGCACAGATTTATAATCCTCAGTCCGCAGAGCCCTTTGAATGGCATCCACCCAGCCCCCAGTGAAGCACCACAAAGTCGTCCTAAGCAGTGCAACCGGGACGGCGGGGCAGGGGGAACCTGGCTCGGAGGTGGGTTGCCAGGTGGCGGAGCGCAGCACAGATAAAGGTGTTGGCCCCACACAAAACTGGGATTGTGTCGCCGGGCAGTGGGACGGATACAGAGTGATTGACTGACTGCCTGACCATTGGAACTTGCGGTGGAGGTTCAGAGGAGGAGTGCGAAGTGCGGAGTGCGGAGCTTGACGATGCCAATGGAGATGGAAACGATGATGTGGATGCCGACTGCCTGCTCCTCACTGAAGGCTGGATGCTGGAAACCCTGATCCGTTAATTGCTGCCCCTGCTGGCCAGGGGTTGCAGCTGAAAATGTGGACGGTCGTAAAGCGTTCCCACATCCGATTATCTACCCGGCGCCCAACCCATTGTGGACGATATGCAAATGGACAGACCCATACAATCTCGCAACTTCCCAGGCACTTGACACAAAGGCAAGGCTCCATTGCCACTGCTCTCCTGTGCTGGCATGAATGACAACAGGAACTGCCGGAAATTGTGCTATAACTAAAGACTATAACCAAGGACTGTTTCCCCGCCCGAGTTTGTGGGTATGAAGAGTAGGACTGCGGATTGGGGGCTGAGGTGTGGGTTGTGGGCGGTGGGCGTGGGCGGTGCGTGGGCGTGGGCTTCAGGCCGAGTCTGTATGCTGAATCAGGAACCGAGATAAAGTAATTTAATAAAGTCATTTCCATATATTTATATTAGAGGAGAAACCAGAGAAATGCCCAAGGGGCGACTTGGACCGTTGTAGCAGCTGCCCAGCATCATTAGCGAGGCCAGTAACGAGTCCCGTTCCGCTCCGGAAAAAGAGAACACTGAACCGTGCTGGAATGTTATCCTAAGCAATTGCTTAATTTAATTACTGCCGCGGGAGGAGGGAATCAGGAGTCGGGAGTTCTTGTGCAGGGAATCGTGCAGGAAAAGGCATGCACAAAGAAAACTTACCACCTGTATAGATCTTGGGCGCTGGCGGCGAGACTCAGGTTGCCCAGCAGTGGCGGCCGCTCCTTGAGATGATGGTGGTTCAGCAGGTCCGAGGAGGAGGCCAGCCTGCAAGGAGTAATGTGCATGGACACAGTGTTAGCCTAGCTCACCATGATGATGGCGTGTGAGCCGTGAAGAGCAGCGTACACTCACCTCAGCTGCGGCGCCTTGATGCCATGCTTGTCCATGACCTTCTCCAGCTGGCGGACGCGGAGGCGGGACATGTCCAGCTCGTGCTTGACCTTCCAGAGATGCGTGTCGCAGATGGGGTCGTTGCAGCGGTGCTTCTTCAGGATCTCGGTGGCCTCGAAGACGGCGCCCCGGAAGGTCAGCGATTTGCCCATGGACAGCGAGATGAGGGCGCAGCAGTGGCCGCCGTCCTTCTTGGCCAGCCGCTTGCGGATATACTTAAAGTAGACGTGCTCGAGCAGCAGGAGGAGCGCCGCCAGCAGGATCCCGGCCATTAGGAGCAGAAAGGCGGACAAGAACTGCTCCAGCGCCAGCGGGTCCGAGGATTTATGCTCCTGCTTGCCCGGACGGCACGTGCCCGTCATCCAGTAGCGACGCAGCCGCTCCAGGTCTCCGTTCGCACGGAACTCAAGTAGCCGCTTGTTGAACATCTGTACGTACTTGGAGTTGCGACTGAATGCCAGCCCGTATCCTGAAGCGAAAGTAATATAAATAATAATATAATTTATATCAATTAATAATATAAATTTCAGCAGGACGTTGCCTTGCAATGCTAATATCTTCCATGGGGACCACACAAATAAGTGCATTAAAATTACCAGTGTAACGCACGAAAATGAAAACTACTTCGCCCGACGTTGAGCGTTATATTACAAATGTTGTTAATGAGCCAAGTGAGTGTTACCAGCAACGGCGAAAAGTTTGCCACCCACACTTGATGCGCTTCAACTTTCAGCCAAGCCGTTTTCACAGTTTACGAGCTGATGGAAACTAATTTAATAATAAATTCAAATGACAATCTAATGCCCGTCAGAGAGTGGAGAAGTTTGAAGACACATGGGGGAAAAGGAGAGAGAAAGGGAGCAGTGCTTACCCGTCATGGCATACCAGCTGCCCACGGTCATGAGCCGGCAGTCCTCATCCTGGGCTACCAAGTAGTCCAGCACAGTGCCATCGTAGATGAAGGAGTCCAAGTTGCCGTTGAGCACGGCGGCCACTCCATCCGCCACACTCGTCTTGTTGTACCTGCGTGAGATGGAAGATCAGTGCTCCGTGGAACCCACCTCACCCTAGGCCATGGGAGTAACTCACTGCCGCATGTAGTTGTGCATGACGTTGAAGTACTTGTGGATGGTCGAGTCCGTGTGGCTGTACGGGATGGTGCCGAACTTGAAGGAGGGCTTGTGGGAGAAGGGATGCACCAGGCGGCTGTCGTTGAGACCGCTGAACTCGTGGAACTCCTCCCTAGGAAGTAGACAATGAGGTCAGATATTACGTCCGAGCCCAAAGTCTCGCAGGCTTACCTCGTTATCATGAAGGCGGCCAGGTTGGCAGTGTATATGGCCAGAAATACCACGGCGAAGAGTGCCCACACATTGGTCATGAAGCGCGAGGTGAAGCCACGCGGCGAGTCCACATGGACGGCGGCCTGGAAGAGCACGGCCCAAACCAGCCAGTAGGTGCGGAACAAGGAGAAGCGATACGGGGTCACGTTGGTGTTCTGCAGGTAGAGCTTCATGTCGTAGCCGCTGGGCGAGAGCCACTCGAAGAGGAAGATCATAAAGGTGGCCGCCTGGATGGCCACTATGCCCACCTGGACGCAGAGAAAGGAGAGAGGGAGGAGCAAGGAGCAAGGACACTTACCAGTGAGAAGGCTGGACAGAGCACGGCTTCAGAGGGGCTACTTACCAGCATCCAGGAGGCCGTGTCGAAGGGCTCCAAAAAAGCCGTCGGCGAGATGATGCCAGTGCGCTTCGCCACCACGATGGCGATGCCGGTCTCCATGAAAGGCTCAGAGAAATCAACGACCGCCTCGCGCTCCGTGTTGATCATCAGCGAAGTGAGGACCATGTCCGTCTTGCGGTTGACCAGGTCGGCGATCAGGCCGTTCCACTTGCCATTCTCGAGGGTACCCCATTTACCATCTTCGACCCGCACCAGCTCGTAGGTGAAGCCCAGCTCCTCGGCAAACTTCTCCAGCAGGTCTATGCAGAAGCCGCTGCAGCACTGGTAAAAGGACTCGTTGCGGTGTGCCTGGCCCACGTCGATGTCGGCGGCCATCTCGTGGTCGGCCGCCACCCGGCAGAGCACACCACGGTCCATCAGGCACTTGCCACTCACCGGGTCCGCAGGCGACAGATTGATATAGGGTGCCTCTTCGAGGAATGTGATCTTCAAATGGAACTTCTCCGGCACGCCCTGGGGCGGGGCGTGCGAGTTGCCGGGCCACGCAATGTCGCGGATGTCCAGCTTCTGCGTCTCCCAGGACTTCCACACTCCAATCTGCCCCAATTGGAGTCGTGGTTCAGATCAGCATAAGTACAAAGCGGTGCGAGATCGATTGATCGGTGCGGGATCAGAGTGGGTCGTGGATCGTGGTTTAGAGTGGTTCAGAGTGGTTCAGAGTGGATCAGATTGGATCAGAGTGGAGCGGGAAGAGTGAGCGTGGGAAGAGTGGCAAAGTAAGAAAGGACTGAGAAAAGCATGCAAGCAACTCCCACTTACCTCTTCCCACACAAGGTTCTTGTTGTTGGCACTGGGTCGGAGGTTCATGATCTTGAGCTCCGCCGAGCGCAGGTCCCCGTCCGCCGTGAACTCGATGTTCGGCTTGTTGAGGTCGCCCTCGATGGACACGTTGCGCAAGTACTTGAAGAAGCTGGGAAAGAGACCGAATGCTTAATAGAAGGCCCGGGGCTCAGTTTGACTACAGGATTCTTCTCTATTTTTAAAAGTACGCTCTCCTGTTTGGTCCTTCACTTAAGTCTAAACACTACGTCGGATCGTTTCGGATGCAAGCATGCAGAGCACACAACATGGTGATGTCCACTTACATTTCTCCGTTGTCCCAGCGACCGCGTCCCTCGTCCTCGCAGGACAAAGACTGGGTGGTGAGGCGGCGGTCACGGTTAGCCGGGTCCGTTAGGTAGGCCTCCACGCCGTAGCTGTAGATCTTGATGGCGTTGGAGATCTCGTTCATGAGCGCCGCGCTGGAGGTGTCGAAGTGCACGCCAAGCATGCCGACGGGGAACTGGGAGTGGGCGTCCTTCTTTTCAATGACCGACTGGCTGACTACCCACACGTAATTTTCTCCGGTGAGCTTCATCTCCTCGGCGGCGCGCAGGATGGTGATGGCCTCGGTCTGCGTGGCGTAAAGCAGCATCACCCGGGCCTCACTGTTTACCAGCTCCATGAGATCGCTGGTGCGGGTGACCACGATCGAGTTGAGGATGGTGAACTTGAAGTGCTCCTGCATCTCAGCCACCCGCTCCCGCACCGCCTGCACGAAGTCATCGTGACCGGCTATCTGCGACGTGACCACCGAGAACTGGTGCCACTTGTAGCGCTCCAGGATGCTCAGCATTGCGGCGCTTTGGTGCTCGATGCTGGGAGCCAGCTGCAGCTGCAGCGTCGATTGCGAGGCCCGTCGTTCCAGACCCGAGTTGTCTGCGTTCCACGAGATAACCGGTATGCCCAGGTAGCCGGCCAGTTGCAGGAAGTACTGGGCCGAGGCCGTGCTGTGCCCGAACTGTTCGTTGTTCATCATGTACAGGATTGCGGAGACGTTCACGCGGAGGAACTCCTTGCACAGTGTGCTTAGGATGGCTGGCGGACAAAGGGATTAGCAGAGTTAGCATTGGGTGTTGCAATTCAGGGGAAAATTCTCGTAGCACAAATCGCCACCCACATTCATACCGAAAATTATGCAAATAAGTTTTAAATGCAGAGAGAATTTGTTTCCAAACGAAACACATTTGTCTGCGGCTCCCTGGGTGCAATCCGTTCGTGCTCATTTGCTTATCTGACCGACCAACCCTCTAAAAACCGCTTCAGCCCCAGCTGCTGATCCCAATTCCAATTCCAATTCGGACCCCAGTCCCTATCCCCATCCCAATCAAAATCTCAATCTCAGCTCGTGCGTGTCCTGTGTACAGATGTGTGGCAATTAATTGCAGATTAGCCACCTTCCGAACTTGTTTTACGAGTGGCTGGTGCTACCCGTTGGAGTGGGAGCCTTTTATTGGTTGCGGCCACCCCAAGGATGCGGTGGGTGGGTGCCCACGGCAGTCGGGGCACTTTGCGCGGACTCTGTTTAGCCTACTAGCCAATTGACCTTTTTTTTAAAGTATTGCGGGACGCTTCTTCACAGTCATAGGGTAATTAATCCATATGCAATCTCTAAGGACTTCAGGGATGGGTTCTGGGTGTCGGGACTTGGCAACCGATGCCATTGTTCACCAGTGACTATAGACAATTTCGGAAGTTTTGCCTGCCTAGGGGGCTGGAGGGGCGCCTTTGGGTTGGGAAGGTGAAGGCGAAATCAATGACAAGACATTGTCAAGTCCTAGGGAACTTGGGATGCCCTCTGTTCGCCCCCTTGCCCCCGGAGAACTGTCAGTCTTCTGTCAATGCTTTGGCAAAATGTGAAATCTCATCAAAAAGTTTAATTAACTTTTTCATCACTTTACTTCTGCTATCTGCATTCCATCGCTACTAGAGGCTAGGATGTCGGATCGCAGGGCTGGGGAGTGGCGGGAGCTGGGCTCTGCTAATTTTTCATCCTGCCCGCAGACGTCTTGCAGTATCCCTGCATTCAATTACCAGTTCCCTGTCGGGACTCGCCCGGATGGATTCAAAGCCGCAGATATGTATAGATGCAAAGATACGCAGATGGATGGCTGGATGGATAGGCCCTGCCATAGGCATAGGCAACCGCACTCGGGATGATGGATCGATGGGTGATGGGCAATGGGCAATGGGCAATGGGAAATGGGCAATGGGCGATGGCCCATCGCTTGATTGGAATGCCCAGGGGGAGGACTTGGGGTGAGTTTCCTTACACTGACGACCTTTGTCCGCATTTAACCGAGAATAGAAATTCACTTAACGGAATTAGGCTCGGCCCGGTCAGGCGGGGGCACGCCCTCCCACTCCAAAATTTTAATTTCGTTTTAATGGAGCATTTTTGATTCCTCCGGCACGTCCATTACGAATTTAATTGCATGCATTAGGCATCCTGTAATTGCATTACTAAGTGTCGCCTCTGCAGGGTACTCACAGTGGAGCCGTAAAAACTGGAACTGCTCTGGGAGGTCCAATGAATGGATGGGGCGGGGTGGGGTGGTGTTCTGGCCTCAAATCCTACTCACGTTTGAGGTAATCCAGACCCCAAAGTGCGTAATGCGGTGTGGTGATGCGGAGCGCGTCAAGGTGAGCGGCAGTTGAACCATGTTTGCCGCCCCAAAGGACTACGGTAGCTCACAATTTCGGTGCCACAAAGGAGCTGCGAAACTGGCTTTTTGTAATGTGCAAATTGAATTTTGACACAGCCCCAATTTGAGTGCCAACGGAGGAGCTGATTGTTGTACCAGAGCAGGAGTCAGCTGACAGCTGTCGGCTGTGAGTTGGCTCCGGCTTTGAGTCTTTTCGCATTCGTCCTTGCTCGACTTGTCTGCCCTGACAGCAGCCGCAGGGGGAAGTGGGGATGCGTCTGTCAACTTATTATAACATCCATTAATTTCATTTAAGCATCATTCAATTGCCTTCGTTTTTATCGTAAGTTATCACAAGTTGCCAACAATGCAAGTAACAGAGTGGAGGGAAGGTGTCATGCGTGAGCGAGAGTCGCCCAACCACTTCGCATCCGCAATGGCATCCGCACTCGCATCCGCATCCGCATCCGCATCCGCATCTTGCTGCCACTCTGGAGCAACTTTTTACATTCGGCCCGACGCAGGCAAGTGGAAAAAGCGCCGACAGGCGCTCCACCCAGGCAGAACATAAATCTAGTTGCCCTAGAAAGTGTATCTCTCAGCACACAGAAAACTTCGCATTCGCTTCCGCGTCCGCGTCCGCATCGACATCCGCGGAGCAGGATGACATAAAGCACAGTTAGGAGTAGCAGCTGTCCCATGTCCCAGCACTTTGACTCGCGCTCGATAATCCAGAATTGGGAAATTCAATACGGGTAGTTGGGAGGGAAAAGCTAGTAGCTGGTAGCTGGTAGATGGTTACTGAATGCGAAACCCGCATCAAAAGCGATGGAAACTTTTGCCTGCTGGGTTAGCTGGCAGGGGATCCACATTGTGCACACGCAATTAAATATTTGCAGTGATAATTTCGGACGATTAAGCAATCGTCATTTATTCCTGTATCATCGATTACAGATGTATCTTTAGGTGCTGCTTCATCGAGCTTCATCTGGCAATTCAGCAATTGCTCTTTCTTTAAAGGAAAGCACAACTAGCTACTTTAATGTTAGAAATTGGAGCTCAATTGCATGAAATCTAGGACTGTTAACTAGCGAATACAAGTGGACCAGGCTGCTCCTTTCCACGGAAATGTAGTTGAAATATCTGTGTGCCTAATCCGGACACGGAAACTAGTTGGTCGAAATAGTTATTCAGCTCCGAATTGTTGAGCTCAGACTTGTGACCTCAGCACCACCCCAGACATCCTAGGCACCCCAGCTTCCCACCCATCCAGCCACCCGTTCCTTACGAGCACACGCACAGATCCGACAGGGCGTGGCATGCCAATAAAAAGAAATGCCATGCATGGCAGCATAACAACAACTAGACGAGCGGCGACAGCAGGAAGGACTGCGCTGTGCGACTGAGGAGGGAAAGCAAAGCGACCCGAACTAAACTCGATTCTTGGGCTGGGCGCTGGGAGCAGCCTCATATATTTTATAACTTGACGTCACGGGCCCCAACGCCAGCGGCTCCCACTTCCCGCTTCGCCCAGCCCGCACTCCACCACTCCAGCAGCTCACCACTCCACTTCGCAGATACGAACAGCCGAAACTCGCATGACGACAATGACAGGGAGAAGAGAGCAAGGACAGCAAGGACAGCAAGGACAGCAAGGACGGCAAGGACATTAGTGAGAAAGCGCCCAAACATCTTATCGAATATCAAAGTGTTGCCAGATGATTTTTCGCTTTTCATGCTCTTGTCGGATGAGTTTTGCACGTGAAGTATTCAACACACACAGTCTGTAAAATGGACGGGTCCGGACTCGGTAGCAACCCATATTCAGCTCACAGGACGAGCGGACATGTGGGGCGTGTACCTTCTACCACGTCAGCTTAGCTGACTCACATCTTAGAGCTGCTTCGTGATATGCCTTTCAAGACCCTACTGGGCTTAGGAAGCAGCCAAGTGCCAGAAACATAACGCATGAAATAAGTGAGGTTGTATGATCACGCCAAGATCTTACGTAACTTACGGTGGCGCCCAGGATCGCAATGATGTTGTCCAACGTGATCTCGCCATTGAATGCTTTATAGCGGCAATGCATATGCTGTAATTAAACATCCTTGAGAGGAACGGCTTCTTTCCCTTCTTATTCGATTCCATCATCCAATTAATCTGATTCAAAGAGAGGTGAAGGCTTAAGGCGATAGGAGCCCGAGAAACACCCAAGGACGCGGGCGTCACAGCCACGGCAAATTACTCCGCAGCTGCTGACACGGCGACCAGCTGAAAAGGGCTGGCGGGAGTGGCGAAAGTTTGGTGCAAAGTGAAGCGTCATAGTAGTTCTTCTGCCCCTTTCGGTCGCCCCATAGTGCGACACGCCTCCATCTTGCGCCTTCTAAGGTTTCAGCGGCCTGGCAACCTGAGAGCCTTGCGTACGGTCCTCACCCGCCTTCATCACTCCCAGCTCCCCAGAGAGCGTGTTGGCACCCAGACCACCGAGCAGCCTAGGCCACAACCGCAACCACTTGGCCAGTCGGGCCATTAGGCGTGGTTGCGCCTCAGTTCGCAGCTCTCCGCTCTGGCCGCCTCACTCGGATCGGAACCGTTTTGTGGCTCTAAGTTTGGGCCATGGACTTGGCCCTGCTCGGTGGACTTCTGGGCCATCATTAGCAGCTGAGCGTGTATAATCAGGCAATTCAGTGTCCATTTTGTGTCTGGTCTGCTCGGCGGGGACCGGGGACCGGTGACCACTGACCACCCCTTGACCGGCACCTCTTATCGACTCCGTCACCGCAGGCATGTGTGCGATGTCAACAGACTTAAGCGAAGTTCATAGCGTGTAACCCGAGACCATCTCGACGCACATGCTCCTCCCCCCATGGCGCACCCTCGGGCCGAGTCCTATTCCATCTTCATTCCCGAGAGAAATGGTCCAAGTTCAAAAGTCTCCCAGCGAGAGCAGCAGATAGCGTACATACACACACATACAGTATCCGGCTACAGCCACGAAACGCCAGGAAGAAGGGAAAAGGTCTGGGGCGTGGCAGGATTAGGCTCGAGGGCCATTCTTGACCTGCCAGTGACTCCAAGGATGCGCCTCCTTCTTGCGACGGCGCCAATTAGTAGAACAGCGTCGGATTCCGGCTGGATTTAAGTTCCGTTTGGCTGGCCTGTGTGTGTGCATCGGCCAAAAATCATACCATGGTATGAAGTAGTTGGGAAAAGCAGAGGGAGTTGTTCCAGTTGCTCTTCACTGTACTTTAAAGAACTAAACTAGTGAAGAGCTAAGCTCGTTACTATTCAAAAGCCTAATTTAATACAGCTTGCATCTGGAATAGTTCCGTAAGCCGTGACTTTCTAGACCAGATGACAAACCATACAAGCAATGGGAACTGGTAAATTTATCAGCCACCAGTTTGGATTTTTTCGGGTGCTCTGGGTCCATTTATTGATGGCTCTTTCCCCCAGTGTGTCTGCGGTGGGGACTCGATGTCTGCTGCTTCCCTCCCCCAGCTCTTGTCCGCTGCCCGGACCATTGTCCTGCTTGATTTGGCCTGGCCTGGGCTGGCCTCCATCTCGTCCATCTTGGCCGCAGGCTTTGGATCCGTTTCTTTTTCGTTTTCATACCCCAGTTGCCTGCTTGCCCACTGCTGCCATCCATTTGTTTGGGGTTTGTTTCGAGAGCAGGCCACAGTGCTGGTGGATTGCCCTTGGCTCACATACAGGCATGTACCGCCAGGGAGCAGCAGCTGCGGCCGAGTACTTGCAAGTTGTCAACAAATGCGGTAACACAGCCACTCGTGTTCGCTATCCCAGCTGCAGCGGTGGGAGCCGCCACCTGGCAGGTGTGGCAAGTGCATGCTGCTGACGACAGGTACAGGTACAGGGAGAGGCCAGAACAGGATAGGAAAGGACAGGAGAGGACAGGAGCAGGAGCAGGATCCGGCCACAATAGCTTATTAATGCGCACTGGCAGGGAATGCAAAGGTGGTGAGAGGCGACATGCAAACATGGTGTAAACAAGGTTAACGGCGCTGACAGGGTCGCTGGACCTGGTCATTCATTGCCGGTTGCAGTAGCTAGTGGCCAATGGCCAGCTGGGCAGTAATCGCGGGTTCAATGGCTAATAATAAAGGACCAAGTGGCCCAAGTGGGTGATGGAAGCTGACAGGTTCCCCGCCCCCGGTAGAAAACCAAAGGGAACGACAAGAAAAATGACTTAGGGCTGGCTGCTGGGGATTGCAGGGTTGTCGGACCGGATACTGGCTCACAATGGAGTGATATATGATACGCCCTGGTCTCCAGTTCCGCTTGGTTCGATTTAAATGAAAATGTCATTTAGCAAAGTGGAGACAACTGGACAGAATCATTCATTCAATCAACCGCTTATTGACGGCATCGCCCATACGCCATGTGGGCCAGCATGAATGGGGAGGCACTACCCTCTCCAGTCAGCCATCAATTGCAGTTAGGGCATCGCTTTTGACACGACGATGTCCAGGATGCGTGTGCAAGGCTATAGGCTGGCGTAACTCGCAATCGTTCAAGGTCAATCGACGACTGACATCGAGATGGCACAACAGGTCAAAGGTATGTGAGTCACTCGATTGCACGAAGCGCTCAATTATCCTATCAATTTGGCTTCGCTACTATTGTTATGCAATTAATGCAAATCAGCCGGATGAGCAGATACTAATGGACGTGTCAAAGAGTGGGCGGAAATCGAGTGGGAGTGGCTGTGGCAGAGGGGTAAGAGGATAACAGATTACACGTACGTACACAAAGCACTTGTGTGTGCAGTGGGTGGCAAACCGAAAAAGGGTTAACCTGTCTGCATGAAAATGTGGCTCTGTTGTTGATGCTCGTGTTGAAGTGCCGATAACGATTATTGGTCCTGACCACTCGTTTCACCAGGTTTCCCATTACTCTCCCAGCTCATTTTGGAGCAACCTTCTAGGAATTTGCCCGTGGAAAGCATCATATTGTGCCGCTTTACTTCTACTATCCCCACAGACTCGTTCTCAAATACTGCCTTCATCTGAGGTAATTGCCCTGTTTTCCATCGCCGCAAATGAGCCAAACTCGATAATAAGGCCATCAAAGTTTATGGCTGCCACAAGAAAGGGGCAAGCACACACAGCTCGGGCTCAGCCGCCCCAAACCTGACCTGGTAATCGTTTGTTGTGTCTAGGGGTTAAAGTAAATACGATTTTGTATGAAATTGCTTTGACATAAAATCATCTACTACGCTGTGGGGCAGACTGAGCTCGAGTTGGAGCCTCGGAATGAAAGGCACTTGTCGAAAAGGAACTTTCGCCTGACCTGCACAGCTCATCCAACGTAATGCTCATGGCAGGGAATGGGAACGGGAATGGGAATGTGAATGGGTTGGATGACAACTTCAACTGGACGACCGCTGACTCGAATTCAATTTCCATACGATTATTATGGAACTTGCTGGCACAAGTCCTGCCAAACTATGTCCGGCAATCAATGGAAGGAATGCGAAGGGGAACGGGAATGCAATCAGGCATCAGGCGGCGAGCGAAGGCAGACTTTTCCACCTAAGGCGGATGTAAAAGTGGGCGGTAATAGGGGGAATTCGGACTGGGGAAGAAATCAGGACAGCATCACGCGTTTATTGTTCGACATTCGAGAGAAATAACAATCGTCTCAGCAACTGAACAAGCCCGGTGTCTGTCAATGTGAGAGCGAGTGTGCGTGGGTGCGAAAGCCATAGAAATCCATTATAAATTCCCCATAGAGCTGGGGTGGGGCAATCAACAGACAGACTTTGTTTGCCATGTGTTGTAATTTGCGTACACACAGATACTCGTATTCTCAAGGTCCTGGCCATAATAAACATTTAAACATCATTGGAAATTCATTTGGGTTTTGTTTGCGCTCGCATTTTCCCTTCACCCCCTTGCCGCTCTGCTGTTTACTTTATCAATTTGGCCAACTGTGGAAATTCAACATAAAATTTCGATATGCCCCCAAGTCTGCCCGCCCCCTTGCCACATCCATATGCACATGGCTAACCCGGGCACAATCACTTTTGGCCATGCCCACTTCCCACATGCCACATCCCACTTCCCGCCCGGAGATGTTAAGTTCTGCTCCTGGTCCTGATCCGGCCCTTTTTATAGCTGTGCATATTTTTGTGCCACGATGCGAATTTCGGGTTCGGAGTCGTGTTCGGTCCTGGTCCGTGGCAGTTGTATGTGGCACAGAGAATGCAATTTGTAGACATGGGCACTTCGAGCGTAGTTTTTTGATATGCACTTTTGCGCTTGCGAAACGGAATCTGGGACTCGGGATTATGCAATCGAAAAGGAAAAAAGTGCAGAAGCGGTGGCATAAATATCTACTTGGCAACCCTGTTGCAGGACTGAGTGCCCTGGCAGCCCTGCGCGGCTTAAATGTACCACTTGCACAGTGGCACCTGACGAATTGTCACTCAACCACAGCAGAGAAACGAAACTCACCATGCCCTTGGGTGTCCTGACAACCCTGGCAGGGTCTTGCCGGAGATTTCTATGCTTATGTCATGATGTTACATTTTCATTGAAAACGCCCTAGCAACCCTGCAAAGCCAGCTCTTGCAATTTGAAATTAAGCTTTTGTCGACTAATCAAAGCACTCGGCAACTCTACAACACTGCACAACCGCTTTCAAGCCAAAGCGTTGACAACTCTGCAAGCGTTTAATTACAGCCTGGCTTGGCCTGGTCATTTATTTATGTGCGTCGCGTTCACTCGGCCATTAAGCAGTTTTCTTCGTTTCCTCATTTTCATTTCCATTTTCGTTTTTGTTTTCATTATCATTTTAATTTTTATTCACGTTTACGCTTTATTGCGTCGTCGTGAGTGGCAAAGGGGGTTAAGCGCTTAAGAAGCTCTAAATGAACGGCCATTAAAAATGCGCACGCAATCAAGAGCCCACCAGGTGTCGACGCCCACGACCTGTAAGCTGTGAGCTATGAGATGTGACCTGTGACCTGTGACCTGCGCCCCGTGGTCACAATAAACGTCGGTAAACAAATTTCGCGCTACATAATTGGAAAAAAGGAGCATTGTGAAGGACACTCACCCGTCGGACTCGGCGTCAGCGACATCATGTCGAAGTGGATGTTCTTCTGCTCGAAGGAGTAGTCCTTGAGAAAGGTCAGCTTGGCGCCGCGCGTCTTCGTTAATCCGGTGACCGCGTTGTTGATGCTGCGCAGGTACTCGCGCTTTCCGAAGTTCGTGTGCGGCGCGATCAGGCCGATGTTGAGCTGCTCCTTGTTGGCCGCCGCGCCCTTGCTCAGGCTGCCGCCTCCGTTGGTCAGCCGGAGGCCCTGGCAGGATCTGGTGTCCAGGACCAGCAGGGTCAGGACCGTGAGAAGGAGCAGCGGGATGGGCCCGCTTGGAGGGGTGAGTGTTGGCTTTCGTCTACTTGTTGTGCTATTGTGCTGGCTGCTGGCAGTGTTCAAAGTGGCGATTGGCGTTTGCATTGGCATTGGCATTGTGGTAGGCGTGGGCATGGGCGTCGGCCCATCCATGCCGCGTTTCAGCTTGACGCGACTGGGCATCATGGCTCGTGGACTACTAGATCCTGAAGTTCGCTGGGATCCGGTGCTCAGTGCTCCGGTGGCCTCTAGTGCATCTGGCCGGGATTTTGTCAATCGTCTGGGCTGTGCTATTGTTTGGATTGTGGATGGATTGCGTTTTCCTGAACAGTCTGCGTCCGCTCGCTGGCCGCTTTTCCCTCTGTTCGCTTCCCCAGGCAGTTGATGGGCTTGTATTGACTGCTGCGCATTGCTTAATTCAAACGGGCAACAGAAGTTATGTACAGCACATGTACCCACCCACCCACATCAACATACACATGCACACACACATATGCACATGCACACAGGCACACAGACACACCTGCACACATACACACACCTAGGCAGCAACACCTGCAGCAGCAATGGCAACACTCGTCGTTGACGTTTTCCGCCATTTCCGTTTCCGCTACTAATTTGTTATGGCCGGAAAAGGCACCGTGGAGCCATTTGCGCACATCGCGAATTTCGGCACCCCTCTGCAAGGAATGTCGTTCGCAACCTTTCGCATCCACTGTGCCGAACGTGCCGCCTGCTGGTCGCCGCCGAGGGCATTCCTCCTCCACCCTCGCCGCCCTGGACTGAATAATAAGAGAGAAGAGTGTAGCTGCCTTTGAAATGATGAGAACTCGGGGGGCTTTATCAACTGGACTGCTCAGGTATTGTAATAGGTGTCTTGCATTAAGTTCTGGGTACAATGGAAGGAAGCATTGCCAACAGCAGGGAAATGAGTTCTGAACAACTGTGGGTGGCAGCGCAGAAATGTATGCTACACAGATGTCAGATATGGTTTCTCAGCTCACAGGGTACTCCGCCCTTCGATACCCCCCAGCCCCCCCGCCCACACAGTTTTTCACTCGGATTCAATTTGAGCGCAGCTTGCCATTCTACATAAATTAAATGCGACATTGGTCCGCATAATCGCTGCTCTGGCACACACACTCTCGCCTCCGCCTCCTCCGTTAGGTTCCCGATTCCTGATTCAAGCATCCCCCAACACCCAACCCCCAACCGCTCCCCCCCCCCCCCCCCCCCCCCCCCCCCCACGCCCGCAGGGAATGCGGCATTTACTCGCGAAATTTTCACTTTGAATTTTGAATGCTGCCAGTAGCTGTAGTAAAAACAGCCCAGAACACGGTGGAGCAAGGCAGCTGAATCTGCGGAAACAGAAATCGGGAATCGGAAGGTGGCAGGCGGAAGGCAGCAGGCGGCAGGCGGAAAGTGGCAAGTAGAGTTGGAACGCGAGAACGCGGATACAGATATCTACTGAGTCCCTCTGTCATCTGCCAACCCTCTCCTTTCGATTTCCCGCACAGTCTAGCCATTATGATAGTCATCACCATTAATATCTCCACATATTGCGGCTGCTGGTAGTTGCGCTGTATCTCATTCTGGGTCTTCGGCCCGAATTTGCGCTTCGTTTGTAGCTATTGGTACACTCGGAAAAACCTTCATTCTTATGCAACTTGGTCTGTCATTCGAAAATCCCCAGGACTGTTTATCCTTTGCATACTCCTAGACATCCTTATACATTTCTGTTACCAGCGGATTCGTTTTTCATTTACTAGTTCATTTATTGGATCAAAGCCGACGATAGCCTCACCCCGTTCTTTTCTGTGTGCCCCACAGCCAAAGCTCTGGGCTTGGCTTTGGGCGTCGCCTGCTGCGGCTTCGTGTTATCATCGAATTCCACCCCCTGCGCCGAAAGGGGGCGTGGCGGCGGCAGGGGTCGTGGCTCCTGCGTCAGCAAGTTGCTCGACTTCATTTCGTGTTGCGGCGGTCTTCGCCTTTCGCATCTCTTGGCTGCGCGGCAAACAGAAGCTGTTTGGTCTTATAATTTGTCGGTTGTCGGTTGTTGGTTGTTGGTTGGCTCGCCGCTTGGCGTAGCCCCTGGTTTGGCTTAAACTGTGTTTTGACACTTAGCTGCCTGGCTGTCAATAGGCGGGGTTGGAACCACTTTCTGCCCCACTTCCCTGGCTCGTTTGCAGGAAAGAGTGATTACTTTGTTGGGGCCAAGCGGCAGGCACAAAGGCACAAAGGAAGCAGGACCCAATGCTCCGTGCAATGGCCGCCAAAGGCGCCGAAGGTCATGGGCTCCTCGGCGGCTGTCTCCGCATGGCCCCATTTCTCCATCTCTCTCCATCTCTCTCCAGGCTCATCCCTGCACATCTGTGTGCGTGTGTGTGCGTAAATGTCTGTGTGTGCCTACATGTGTTTCGTACTTTTCGTACATGATGGCGGCAATAAATTGTATCTTATGAGAAAAGAAACCAAAATAACAGACATCCCGGGTAACGTGGCTCATAGTCCCCACAAAGAACCCTCCCTCTCCTAGATTTTTCTTGGAGCAGGGGCGGTATTTCGAGCTCGGGGGCTACATCATTCATCGGACGTGTAATGAATTCACGGCGTATTAAACTTTTGATTGAAAATGCTGGTTGCTCCGGCTCTCTCAGCTAGCGTCTTTTCTTCTGGCCCTGTTGTTGTTGCCCCTCTGACAATGGCATTATCATCAACCCTCTGTGTGTGCGTAAGTTTATGACTTTTGCCGGACATTTCGGAGCTAGGCTCAAGTTGTGTGTTGCTATACTTGGCTGCTTTGGATACAGGTTCTTTAACGAACACACGCATGTAGTGCACAGGGAGAAAAACTTGTATTACGCAAAGAGCAGGCATCTCAGTGAGGCAGCAGTGCTTCTTGCAACTCAGCGAAAACTGACCGAGTTATCCTCGGTGTACAGTTCATTTGCCAGAGCTGAACCCTTTTTAGAGTTATTTACTTTCTAGCGTGGCTTGCCGCTTTCGTCTTCTTTTTCTACCCGTTCTGTCATCCTCTTTCACTGACCTCGCCCACAAATGCAATACACGTATTTATTTATTTGTGTGTTTCATTCCCCCTACTTCCATACGCTTTGCCGACGTCCTTGGCCCCTGCGTCATCCGCTCCCTTTCTTTAGCCGTGCTTTATCGTTCCCGGCCAACGGATCCTTGTTAGGTCAGATCCAAATAGGTTAGCTTTAGGCCAAACAGATGACTGGGTGGATGGGCGGTGGTGGGAGTGGGAGGAAGCCGTCTTATTTGACAGGACGGCGACCGCTGTCAGCCCCAATCCCCTCTAGACAAACATGGCCGGTTGCTTATTAGTTTGGGCCAAACGTTGGCTGTCAACGCTTTTCTTTGTTCCAGCGACACTGGCCCTATTTTTCTTTTCGCACTTCCAAAAAAGGGCAGGATTCCCTGGTGCTCGCCGGCGTGAAAAATGACTACGTGTTATCTGTGTGACACTTATGGTGTCCCTTTCCACATCCGGCGAGATCTGGCTGGCACCTAATTCATTGGACCCCACCCAAGTTTCGGCTTGTTGTGCCGCCAAACAACAAGCAAACAAAAGTTCGCTGCCCAAAGTTGGCCGAATGCAAATCCCGCTGCAACAACGCGTCGGCCAAACAACTGTACTTGTAGAAGCAACAAAAAGGACGTACAGGCGCAGAAACAGGAACAGGAACAGGATAAACTAACACGATGTCAGTTTGTCCTGCCTCGCGTTTGTGCCATGTTGTGTTGTGTTGGCCGAGCAGTTTCGGCCCCGACTGAGATGTACTTGCCGCAGTGTTCATTGTGGCACACTAGAGGCATCCTTGGCCGGTGACCTTGAGCGATGGAAGAGGGGGGGGTTCCCCAAAAAGATTCAATACCGACTTACCGACTGGCTAGTGAACGATCTGTAGGCTCTCTACACAGACAAAAACCATAGGCCGATAACTTGGTACGAACGGGCAGCCCTGAATAATTGGGATCTTTCTGGGAGATGGAAATATGAGCACTGGAGATCACATCAACTTTTCAACTTCTCCTACCTTATCTCAACGGGATAATCTGTGAAACATTGTAGTAGGAAATGTTTTTCGAAGAAAAGATATGTAGAGGTGTTCATTGGAGCCCATCGATTTTGCTAAATATTCAATGCACTACCCCATTCCGGTTTGTTTACTTTTCAGGATGCGGCTGGCGAACGTGCCAAAATGGGTCAAAGGGCGAGGGTAAGGTGTAGAACTTAGAAAGTGGGCGGGGCCCCAGCGCGCCCCAAAAGCCGCCCAAGGCTGCTCCGCTTGGCCTTCCGCCTCGAATTAGCGAAAATTTCATAATAATAAAAATCTCAAACTTGGTGGCGCGATTGGGTGGCGGATGGAATGGGCGGGGCGGGGCGGGGCAGGACGGGGTGTTGCTTGATGGGTGGTGCACGGTGGCTTCGAGTGGGTGGGTGGGTCGGCTGTCGAGGGGTCTGTCATTGCAGGCTCTTAATTAAAATGTGTTGCAGGGGCTGGTGGGCGGCGCGGTGGGGCTTTTGTTTTGCTTTCGCGCTGTTTTCCTTCTGCACTTCTGATGCACTTGGCCATTGTTGTTGCGCTGCCTGCGGTTGTTGTTGCTGTTGTTTTTGCTCTTATTGTTGTTGTTATTGTTGTTGTTGTTGTTGTGATTGGCACACTCACTCACACACTCGAACAAAAACAAAATAAAGAGTGACAGTGGGGCTGCCGCTGCATTTCTCCATTGCACTTTCCCGTGATTATTTTTATTAAGCCCGATGTTTTTCGCAGCTGCTGTTGTTGTTGCTACTTAGCGTAAAGTTTGCAAGCGTGCGGGGGATGCGGGGGAAGCTGGGGAAGAGTGGCTTGCTGGAAAGGGTGGGGCCTAAAACTGAAACATGAAGCAAGTCCACACCCAAAAATTCAAAGACACGCACAACGACAACGACAGCGACAGCGGCGATGACGACGACGCAGCCTCACTCACACAGACGTGAGGCAGGCACACGAACACATACACACACACACACATGGACATACACGCCCAAAAAAAAAAACGACGAAAAAGTTCATCTGTTTTGTTGTTGCTCATGTATTTTTTCGCCATCATTCCGCTGTGCTTTCTCTATTTCTCCCCCCCGCACCCATTCCACTTCCCCTCCGCCTGTCCAACCCCATCCACACATTTTTTGTCCTTTTGCCATTGCTGTTGTTGTTGTTGTTGTTCCGTTGATGTTGCTGCGCTGCTTTCTTTGTTATAAAACAAAACACACTCGGATTGTCACATGGGCGGGGTGGATATGCAAGTCCTGGGCTTACGTTTACGTTCGCATCCTGGACGCAGTGCTCACTTGGTCAGTTGGCGGTCAGTCCAGTGTGTGTCTAGTGCTAGGCGTTAGTCCGAAGTCCCAAGACCCTAGTCCCAAGTCCCGAGTCCAAAGTCTGAGGTGTCAAGTCCGGCTCCGAAATTCGAGTCCGTTTCAGCGGGCCAAGCCAAGCTCAGCTCAGTGTCGGAAACGGAAACGGAAACTGAGACTGAAACTGAAGCCAAACCTGGCGGCTCTCTGCCTCTGGACGCCTGGCAGCTCCTGCAGATGCAGATGCGGATGCGGGTGCGGGTGCGAGCGAGCAGAACCGAACAGGACTCTGAACGGCACGGAGCGAGCTAAACGAACGGAACGGAGCGCGCTCTGCGGACTGAATTCGATGAGCCACCGAATGGCACTGCCAGGCAGCCATGGAGCCGCCTCTGTCGCGAGCAAGAGGAAGCACTCTTCCGCAGCTTCCACAGCTCCCGCTCCTGCGGATGCCAGCCCCAACGCGAAGGACACGAAGTGGGCTCGTATTTCCGCTGGAGCGAGCGCGGTGGGGCATCCGCAGCGGCCACCGAGCACTGTCAATGTCACAGAGAGAGAGGCATTGACTTGGTTTCGATTTCGATTTCGTTTTCGTTTCATTTCGGCTTGTAACACGCCCTCCTGCAGCGTATACGTAATATCCAGCTCTCGCGTCCGAAGCTCTCTCGCTCTCTCAGTCCGCTCTCTTCTGGATGCTAATCGCATGCCAAGCCCATTGGCGTGGTTGCCACCCGGCAAAGTCTAAGTCATCAATCTGTCAACCCTCAATCACGCCTATTTCGAATCTCCCCAGGACATGGCAGCAGGCATCCTTGTATTGAAAAAGAAAACTTGTCAAAGCAGTATTTGGGATTAGTTCGCTAACTTCAAATTGCTTGGGTATTTTATGTCACCAGGGTGATTGTTTTCGATACTTCCGCATTGCGAAAATCGCGTTGGGAATTGCAGGGCGACAATCCCACGGCATCTGGCAACGCCCGGAGTGCTGCCTTCGGGACTTTGCGTCTGCGCTGCTTTTTGGAGAGCAGAAGAAGGATGCTGGGGTTGCAGGGCGCATCGGGGTGGAGCAGGTCTACTGGGTCTTGCCTCGACCTCAACTGTTGGACCAGTAGACTGCTCCGCCGTTCGACTGCTCCACCGTTCAACTGCTCGAGAGGTGGACAAAAACCACGTGTTGATTTGTTTTGATTGTGCGCACTCTGTGCGATTCCGCTCCTGCTACTGCGACTGCGACTCCTGATTCTGATTCAGATTCCGATTCAAACTCTGATGCTGTGGCTAAGGCCCAGGCTGCCTTGGCTTTCTCTAGCTTTGGCTTCTTACGCACGGCGTCACCACTTGCCAATTGAATGTTAAGCGGCATGCTCCCTGCGCAGCCAGGCGGCAGCAAAGGAGCGCCAGGACTTGGAGCCTAGTACATCCTAGTACCTCGCCCTTGCGTCGGCTAGCAACCGTGGTGCGTAAGGGATAATAATGGGACATATAATAGGACTGGATACTATTCGATTTTAAGGCCAGTCTTTAGCGGGCTCCAAATGAGTGAATTTTGGATGCATTCCATCTCTGAGAATATTGCCTGATGGACGCCAACCTATGGCTGAATTTGCATCCTGCCATGAACAAGAACGAGTAACCACTGTGACCACGACGCTCATCGCGTGCGGTGTGCTTCAAGCGCTGACAGATTTGCTTCGGCTTTCGGACTCGTCTGGGCTTGGTTTCGGCCTCTCGGTTTCGTCTTAGATTTCATGCTGCTTCCGCTCGCCAGAAACCAAAGCGGCGGGTAAACGCTTTGTGGCATTCCCTGTTCCCGCCGCCCCTGCCATCCAAAACCCGTCGAGCTCCCAGGCGCCTTTGTCGCTTTTTGTGGTCTTCGTCTGTGGCTGCGGCTCTGCCTAACTTGCCAAATTAATAAATTGGCTGTAAAAACGCACAGCCCAAAGAAGATAGCGACGTGTACTCCTTGATTAGATTTGAATGAGTGGGGCGTGGGAGCGCTCTCTATGATAGATGATTGGGGGTTCCTGCTCCTGCTCCTTCTCCTTCTCCTGCCCGGCTCCTGTTTCTGCTCCTGATTTCAAATAAGTTCAGCTTCTGTTGCTGGCTTCGATCACCTGGCCGGGATGTTGGGGGCCTTTGATGGATGCGAATGCTATTCGCTCGCATTGGAAACTCGATTAATAAGGCTAGCTGATGATTTTGGGTTCCTGGGAGGAGGTGGGCGCGGAGCTTTGAGCTACTTCTGCCACTGCCACTGCCTCTGCCTCTGCCTCTTGGCTTTCACTTCATATAATTTCGTTTGCATTATATTCCCTTTTCGAACATAGTGAGCATCTGTGTGAGTATGCCTGCAAGTCTGCCTGCTTGTGTGCGTGTGTATTTAGTAAAATTTTGTTTGCCAGACGCTGATTTCATTGGGCCGATGTTGCCTGCGAGGCATCTCTGTGAAGTCGGGAATCTGAAGTCTGAAGGGTTTTTCCCCAACCCCCCACAAACCCGCCCCACCCCGCTCCCCTCCCGCTGCCCACCACTATATCAAAGCGAACACACGCACAACAAAGTCGAGCGGGAGGGAGAGAGCCGAAGTGTGTCAGAGCGAGAGTTGGCCCATCAAAGTTTGGCAAGGCTCGAAGCATTTAAAAAGACATTTCAGCCATGCTCCCCGAACTCCCTTTACTCCCTAGACCATGACCCTACAGACAGCACATACAGAAATCTGAATTTCGCCGATTCGGAACATGGGAAACCACGTTTAAAGTAATTTTCCGCAACATTGGAGGTCGCTCCAGGACACGGAAAAGCCCGCACAGGACGTGGGTCAATTAGGCGAACCCTGTAAATGCGATCTCCCAGCTATCGCTGCCACACAATCTCCCCCAAGTGCAAACAGCGCAAGAGGGGCAAACTGAAATCAGAAACAGCAATAGGATTGGGAGCCAGCGGGATGACCAACTGCATCCGAGGCTGGTTCGACAAGCCCGCTTCCCAAATCCGCAATTAGATCTCTGCCCGGGCCACACCCCTCAATCTGGCAAACGAAACAAATTCGGGACTTAATGACATTTCATTTCCCCAGTCAAGCCCGGAATTAGATTGCTATTGTGTGCCAATTCATACCCAGGCCCGTTCCTTCCTCGCACGCGAACATTTTCCATTCTCCTGCCTGAGGTTTGACATGGTTTAATTTTTGATTGGCTTTTAAACTCCTGCAAGCCTTTATTCAAATTTAGTTGGCTTTCAAAATAAAGTCGTGTCTATGCCAACGCGGTGTGTGTATTCCTAGCCCTCCCCATAATTAAATGTTCCTTAATTTTGAAATTTGCACATCAAACAGCTTAATGCTTACACGCTGATTCCCTATTATTCGCAAACAGGTTCCGGTGGGATTATCCACCCCCGCCTGCATCGCCTGTCAGGAGTGTTCTCTTCGCCACAAATTAAAAGAGGCACCGCGCCAACGATTACTTCACACGTCATTCGATTTGACATTCGATTTGATGGCATCTGTCGCTGACAACAATCAGCAGCAACAAAACCCAGTGTTCCGCTGGAGCACCATCGTCATCATCTCATCATCATCCTCATCATCGTCATCATCGTCATCATCACCATCACCATCACCACGCCATCACCACCATCAACATCTTCTCGAGCGACACACATCTGAATGGGCGCGTGGGCGTATAAGCGATATCACCACTTGGTATTGAATAGGCGCAGCTATTAATTGGTTCATCACAGCGCAGCGTTGCGGTAAGTGGGGCATAAAATGTGCAGATCGAGCGGCAATCACTACCAGTGGCAACACTAGTAATAACGCCGACAGAAATCAGATTGAAGAGCTGAGCCAAGAGCTGAGTGAAGTGGGCTGGCGATGGAGGGCGGAATAGTGACAACATCATTTACGTGTAGTTTACACTTCTTCAACGCTGCCTCCGTTGGTCTCTGTGAACTCCCTCGGGGGCAGTGCTCCGGTTAAATCCGCATGCACTTGCCACAAACATGACAGCCTTCAATCCCACCCGATGCGCAAACACCCACCACCCCCATGCTTTGTATTCAAATTAAGTACGTGCCGGAGGCAAGTGCACAAATAGCGAAAATAGTTGGCTGCCATCAGCATTTCTGTCCGCTTAATCAGCCACGGCGCTCTGGGCCGGTAGGGTTCACTTCTCAGGTGGGTGTGCATGGGGTGCACGGAGGCACGGATGCCTTCTGGTGGTGACACGTTCCTCAGTGGCCATGCAACTTGTGACTTGCCCATGACAGCTACATTGACGTCTCTGCACAAAGCAGGAGGGGCTCAAAGATAGCAGCAAGAAAAGAGCAGTCCGATGTGCCTGTCAGCTTCTGTTTGGACAGGCAGCCTAGCAGGAAGGTCTCACCTGAGTCCTAGAAAGACGAAGCAGAAGGGGAGTGGAGCGCAGCGGGCGACGGAATTGACTAACTGGCCTCAAAAGCACGCACACGCCAGCAGACATCCCCATCGCCTCCTCCCAATGAAATTCTCCTTTGGCTCCCTAATGCCTCGCTTTCCTTTGTGCTGCTCAGATTTTTCAGCCTCTGTCCAACGAAGAAATTACTCAAGCCTGCTTCTAATGTCCCCCAGCAGCTGTGGAGGTTATCCCAACATCGTTACCGTCGTTATCCCAATCGAATGGGGAGCTTCTTCGCCCAAGCTCATTATATTTGATTCGATTTCGTTGACAACAGACATCCTTCCGCTCCGAGCAGCTTCCTGTCAACTCTGCGACTCCGTATTAGCTCTCGCCTCTTTGCACCTACGTGTGCCGCAACGAAGCTGCGTCATCCACCACGCCCACATGCGCCCAATTAGGCCCAAGTCAAAACAAGATTTGCGGCGATTCGGTTAGTTGTTGTTTATGCCAAGTACGCCATGACATCAGCTCGAAAACCAGCACCAAGTTGCTATACTTCAGTCCGCCTGCGTGGCTCGGACGGCCTTGACTTTGGCCTTCTCCAGCTTCTGCGACTTCACTGCGATTAGATAGGCATCAGTGGAGGATCGGGTACATAAGTAAAGAGAAACCCACCTGTGATCAGGACATCCTCGTCATCCTCGCCCACACCCACGCCCACGTCCTGGCCCTTCTCTGTCCGCTGGAGCACCTGTTTTCGCAGCTTGCGAAGGTAGGCCGCTTTGTATTCCTCGCTGGGCTTCCCACCTGCTCCGTAGCTCACCTCCAGCACTGTCAGCGGAATCACAGTGGAGGAGACGGGCACCAGGTCTGACAAAAAGGGCAGCATAATAGTGGGCGACACAGCAAGCCTTTTATTTTATTGACCAACCTGCCTCGTATTTCTCTTCAGGATTCAGTTTGTACAGCATCGGAGAGGTGGAGACGCTGGCACAGACCAGCAGCAGAACGAACAAGCGCGGCAGAAGATCGGTCATAGTGGTGATGATGGTCCAAAAGCCACGCACAAACTGGTCTCTCGACTAACAAAAGTTTAAATTTAAATTTGAACAACTCACCATGGGCGGCAACTGAAAGTATCGCACGTCTGCAACGATACATCGATAGTCAATGCACAGTTTATGTTACCGAGCACACACACCGACCTAGCGAGGGCACACACCGACCGCCGTTCGATATTACGGCACCAAACGGCCGAAAGAGCCCGATAGACACAGGAAAATAGGGCCTCCGTTACTGCAGGCCCGATGAGCTCAGACATCGGCAGACGCATGCTATCGATAACGGTCTTGTTTATTAATGAATTAATTAGTTAGTCGAAGTTAACTAAAAAAAATACGACAAGCAGCAAAATCAGCGAAGTCTGCGTGCCCAAGTGGAGTACCCCAACGAAAAGAGGCAGCGCAAAAGTGCAAGATCAAGACGCAGTCGAAGGCCAGGCAACAAGGCACAGCAACGCAACAAAGACGCAAGCGAAGAAGAAAAGCATGAGCTGAGGCTGTCGTCGCCAGCAAGCAAGGGAATCGCGCGGACAATAAGAGCAGGACAGGAGCAGGGCAGGAGCAGGAGCACCAAAGGAGCACCAACCCAGCGGAGCACCCGAACCGCAGCAGCGGCACCACCACCATGAGCACGGTGTTCATAAACTCGCGAAAGAGCCCCAACGTGCTGAAAAAACAAGGCACCGACCAGTGGGTCAAGCTGAACGTGGGCGGCACCTACTTCCTCACTACCAAGACGACGCTCTCCCGTGACCCAAATTCGTTCCTCTCCCGTCTGATTCAGGAGGACTGCGACTTGATATCGGATCGGGTGAGTGTTCCGTACCCCATGTGCGCACATGGCACGTCCCCAGTGAATTCAGTAGCAGCTCCGTAAGTCCACCCCAAATACCCGAAAAGTGCGCACATGACCCAAAGCAGGTCATGCAGCTTCGGGGGTGCCGGGGATTTGGCCCAGGGGTCGGTGGCCAGGAACAAAGTGCCACAAACAAGCTGCCAAGAGCCCAGAGAGCGCGAGAGAGCGTCCTACATAAACTGCAGCTGCAGCCGAGTGTGCTAGTTTGCAGTGTTGCCCCCAGAAGGTCACCCAACCCCCTCGAAATGGGGCAGACCAAATAATCATCATGACAATAATTATAACATGAACACGGACAATCGACAAACAAACATTTCAATGACTCCCCAAGCAGCGCGAAATTCCAGTGGCAGGGGCACACTGGCACATTCGCTCTGACTGTTCCATTTTTGTATAAATAAACAGTGCCCTGACCCCTCTTACCACCGTCGATGCTCAAAAAGCTTTGCAACCCGCTGCCCCATGACTGAGTGTACAAAACTAATCACTGATTCGGTTACAGGACGAGACAGGAGCCTACCTAATCGACAGAGACCCCAAATACTTTGCACCCGTGCTCAACTATCTGCGCCACGGCAAGCTGGTGCTCGATGGCGTCTCCGAGGAAGGCGTCCTGGAGGAGGCCGAGTTCTACAACGTGACGCAGCTGATAGCGCTGCTGAAGGAGTGCATCCTGCACAGGGATCAGGTGAGACACCCTCCCTCCGCAGCCATATCTCTGCTAATCCGTGTCAATTTTTTCCAGCGACCCCATGCGGATAAGAAGCGCGTTTATCGTGTGCTGCAGTGCCGCGAGCAAGAACTAACCCAGGTAGCGCGTTGATTTAATGGAACGCACCACACATCTAATCCGATCATTACTCCTTATTTTGCAGATGATCTCAACGCTGTCGGATGGCTGGAGGTTCGAGCAGCTCATCAACATGCAGTACACGAACTACGGGTCCTTCGACAACAATGAGTTCCTGTGCGTGGTCTCCAAAGAGTGTGGCACGACGGCCGGGCGGGAGCTGGAGCTGAACGACCGGGCCAAGGTCCTGCAGCAGAAGGGATCGCGAATGTAAGCCAATCGCAGGGCGGCGACAACACGCCCTCTCGCTCTTTTTCGCTGTTTCCCTGCTGGCGCCCGTTTTGGGTGTGCTGTCTTATGTGACCAATAGATATTGGTGCCGAGTATTTGACAGCATATCGAAGGCCGACAAGCATATACACATGTACTCAATGTCCAAACGGAATTAACAGTGGACTTGCTCTGCTGCGCTACGTTAGCAACGCACAATATATTAAATGTAGACCATATTTGTACATAGGAGTTTTGTATGCTCTAGAACTGTAGTACATTGCCTGCCCTGTCTGTGACTTACGCTTTTTTATCTCTGTTTAATTACAGTCTTGGAATTTAATCGCGCTATGTATTCACATACAACCCCTGAAAATTGAAATACCGAACTCCTTTTCATCAACAAACAACTCATTCCCAATCAGTAACACCATCAGCCATACCGACCCAACACAAATTGGATGCAGCCAAGGAAGCCCGAGCCACAGCCACAGCCACATCACCCACCACAAGCCACACCACACGCGATCAGATCAGACTCAGCCACAGGCACAGGCATAGGCACAGATCACCCACCAAGATCAGCCGGAATCACCAAAGCAGAGCCCGCAGGGAGACTTCGCTTCATTTGCATTCGAGACAAAGTTAACAGGTACCACTGCGATTCGATTCTCGCCCTCGTGGCCGTTTTGCGCACTGTACGAAGTGTGTGCGGGCGTGCATGTGTTCAACTTGTAGTAAACCAGATAGACCCGACTGTACGAGAAACAAGAAACCAGCCCTGCTTCGTTGCGCATTGCCCCATAGCCAGGCTGCTGAATTAGAGTCAGCTTCGAGCTTCAGCTTCGCTTCAGGAGGCACGCGCGAACCAGCCAGTCTGTCAGTCAGTCAGTTAGCCAGACATTTAGCAGAGGATCCTTCCGAGCCGCTGGGCTGCTCCGCTGCTGGACTGCTGGACTGATGGAACACTCAATAAGCTAGGTATATACACATTTAGCGGGAGTTTGTAGGGTTAGTCTTAGTAGTTTTTATCGTGCTTACAATAACGACCCTGACGACGCAGCGGACACTTCGCTGGAGCAGTCGCGATTCCCTTGGTTAAGCACCTAACTAACTTACAGTACCACACTAGGTTCGAGCTGCATTTACGTGTCCGATCCGATACCGATCCGATACCGATACCTGCGATACCAGGCCCTCTGCACCCCAAATCCGAGTCCCCCGGAATTCGCAGAGTTTCTGCGCATAGTTCTGCTCCGTAGTTCTGCACTACTGATGAACTGGCGAGCGGTAAGAGCGTGCGTGTGGTCCGTTTTGTGTAGGCCCGGTTTTACTACCTTGAGCTTTATTTTAGAAAACGAGCAAGGCGAAGATCAACTTTAGGAAATCAATTGAATCACGACTGAATTTATGTGAACTTGCACTCAAAGAATATACATACATGCGAATACATGATAGTGAAAAAAGTTTAACGAAAATGAAAACCTATCCGGCGACGTTTTGTACAGACGCATGATATCTATAATAAGATAAGTACTACATGAATGTATATAATTTTAAATAGTTACTAATTTTTACACGAAAAAGAAAACAAGCGAAAATTGAAAATGATCCAGAACGTCGCCACCTACTCGTACCCATTTTGTATCCATTTTGACTTATTTTACGAGCACGGCTGGTGCAGATTATATAGAGTATAACTTATGCTTACGAGGATTATTTCGACGAAGAACCTTTACACTAGCAAGTAGTAGAACCGCAGCGCCCGTTTACGCCGGACGCAGTGTCCGGCATTTAGCAATACAAAGAAAGGCCACTGCAAGTTAATACAGTCACGGCGACAAGTACAGATAACCCCTAACTCTAACAATAATACGATAGCCTAACCCCTACTGTAACTCCATAAGGATGTACTCACACCCCCTCTACACAGCCTGTATCCCGTACCTTGTACCCTGTACCCTGTATCCTGTATCTTGTATCCTGTATCCTGTACCCTGCAGAGGCGGATGGATGGAGGCGCCCAGATCGCAGCTGCCGCTGGAGCTGGAACGGATCCTGGATGCTCCCCCACATAATATAAATATATATGAATAAACTTGGAACCCTTTTCTAAAAAACATCCCGAACGGCTTCGTCCTGTGAATGCGCTTTGCGCTTTAAAGCCCTTCGAAAAAGCTTAGGTGCTGGAACTGGTTAGGGATCTTACAGCAGCACTTACGCCATCAGCGGCTCAGTGGTCTCCGGATTCCTGTTGATGGTAAGCCATACATCTCGAATATCAAGGACGCACGACCCAAGGCCCAGTTATGTAAGCTTGAGAGGCAAGGAGCTTGGAAAGCGCGGAACCATTTACCGAACTTCAGCAAGGACACTTTAAAAGCGCACTTTACTTGTAATACCTCGCTTATGCTTTTGTACTATAATTGAGCTTTTTTTCAGCAACTGAGAATCGTATCTGAGTGGAAAATCGAAATTTAATTTAACATTTGTTTAAATTATAAACTTGGGAGAAGTGTATTTTTTTTTAGAAAACAGCTGCTTTTGATTTTCCTGTCCTTGCATTTCAATGTGCAATGAATTTCGGACTATAGATATAGTATATATATTTATATATACATAGGTATTGCAGGTTTAAGTATTGATGGAGCTGATGGTGTATAATAGTCCTGCAGTAGAACTCCCTCCTAGGCACCGGCAGAAGGCAACTGGACGACATCATCTAGCGGAAAACCGAAAAGCGGTGTCAGTAATTACCGTATTAATAAAACAATTCAGTCAATAAAATATTAAAAAGCAATAAACATGGTGCTGCCGGGAAACGATCAGCTGATTATTAATCGTTGCATACTTTTGGGCTGTGCATAGATTGTGACATATATCTTCAACTTATTGTTGCCTACTTTTGAGGGCTAATTGATTTCAAATTCTGCAGAATCACCTCCTGATATTTCTGTTCGCCTGGTATCTGAAATCGAAGAAGCTGAATTTTTCAGGCAAAAATTAACAAAACGTGCCTCATTTGTAAAGCAAATTGGGCAATGTCCGATTTCATACACCAGGCAAACAGAGATGCCAGGAAGTGGGCAACGATTATTTCGTTTCCAGCTGGCACCTACTGCGAGTTATGATCGCCTGGTGCAACAATTAATGAAAACTATGAAAATCGGACGTTTGATCCGAGTTTTCTTGGGTAAATTGAGAGATTCTGGGTTTCAGATAACAGGCGAACAGAAATGTCAGGAAGTGACTGCAAAATTTAAAATCAGGTAGCCCTTGAAAGTAGGCAACAATAAATAAAACGATCAGCTGATCGCAATTAGAAGTATGCATCAAATAAATTTAACAGCTGTGACAAACATGAACAGCCCAAAAGTATGCAACGAAAAATTAATGATCAGCTGATCAATATTTTCCAACCGACCCTGAAGGTATGCAATACTAATATTGCAGCAATACGGCCCAAAAGTATGCTTCACTATTTTTCTAATTAAAAACATTTTTTTTTTTTTTTTTATTTTATTTAATTATTTTCTTGATGGGATGATACTGTAGAAATTCAAAAATGTCCCAATGCTGATACTCCATAACTCAACATATTTTTATCGGATTTTGAAGTGGTATACCTCTAAATGTTTCTGACGCAGTTCTCTAAAAATTCTCTCTGCATTTAAATTTCGAAATTTAGTTCAATAGGCAATAGGTAAATTGGCAAATAATGTAAAAGGTACAACGAAATATTAGAATATCCTGTAACTAATATCCTTGCTTTGGATGACGTTCCTCCATCTCCGCGTGGACTCCGCGTTGAGGTCTGAGTCAACTTTTGGCGGTATTGATTAGAGTTGCGACATTGCGAATTTACGCAAAGTACGAGCAGATGTGGAAGTGCGTGAGCTCATGGGATATTCATAGGCGAGCTCCCATGGGCTCCAGAGTATGAGTGAGTGTGGCGATGCAGCTGCCATTCTCGGCCCGGCAACTAACCTCCAGATGCCAATTGCCTTATCGAGACTTCGCAGGCAGCGTTAGAGGAACAGGAATTCCACGATGGTGACACGCGATTTTCGCTTTTGTAGATTCCGCTGGCGCGGACCATGCTCGCGTATCGATACGGGCGCATTAAAATTTAACGGCCCCGTTCCCGTTCCCGTTCCCATTCCCGTTCTCGCCACCCGCCAATCTGCCGTGCACTAAAGCGGCCGGAACACGTGCGCATTTATGCTTATTCTAAACAAAGGAATAAAAACTTTGTCGCCGCGCACATGAGACCGCCACGGTGGGCGGTAGCGGGCAGGGGGTGGTGCTGTATCAGCGAACTTGGACATTAGTGCGTTGCTGGCTTCCACTCCAAGTTCGTTCCGCCTGGCTCGTCCCTAGCCGAGATCACTGGAAACAATCGCCTGTCACGCGCACCTGAAAGAAAAACAAGTACAGAGGCGTTTTGAAACAGGGCAGAGCATATGAGACACCAGTCGTAGAAACTACAAAATTAACGCAAATGCAAATTATCAGAATCTGCGTATTTTCTGTCAGTGTGCTGTGTTGGTGTTGGTCCAAAGTTTTGGCATCGCGGAGGCCTCGTAAAGCGATTCTCGCAAGAAACGCAACCAGCCTAAGCGAAATTTCATTCGCTTTTATGGGCAACGGGAGCTGGCTTCTGGCTTTCACTTTCCTTTCCTCGAGTTTCCTCGGAGCCGCTCGTCTTGCGGCTGCTCTCCATTTCCAGCACAGGACCCCCATCGACTTGCCTCCCTTTTGCCGTTCTCCACAACATCGAAATCGACAGTGGCAGTGGCATCGCCATCGCCATCGCCATCTTGGCATCTTCCCAGTGCAGCACAGCCATCCCGACAGCGCCAGCATGCCAACCCCTTGTGGGGCAGACGTGTCGCCTCGCATACGCATACGCTGCGTCCTTCAACCCATGCGGCACGGCACCCCAGACGGCCGCCACTCAGTTCACTTTTGAATAGTGCAGGAAAGTGCACACAGCCAGCACATCCAGCTTCGACGTAAGCCGCCCCAGAGCGCGAGCAGACAGTCCTGGCGGGAGCCACCACCGTTTCACTTTCGTTGCAGCTTCTGAACCCTTGTGCCCCCTGCCCCAGCACCCTGTTGCTCATCCCCCAGCTGCATCCCCTTCCAGTTTCCCCTTTTTACACCTGACGGGGGCGGCCAGCGGGCGTGGGGCGCTGCAGCTTCTGGGGGTGCAACTAAAGCTGCGGCCAGCAGAGGATTCTCCGTTCACGTGACGAGAGACGAGCGTCTCAGCTGCAGCGGTTGCAGGGGCAGCAGGCGGCGCAGTCGGCGCAGTCGGCACTCTAATGCCACCCCTCCTCCGCTTCAGCTGGGGGTGGAATCTGCGCCAAGGGGTTAGAATGCGTCTCGCCTCGCTTTCGTTTTGTCTCGTGGCTGTCTAGTGCATCTAACTGTGCAATGCTCCCCCGGCGGCGGAATGGGCCAGGCTTTGTGCGGCTCAAGTGCATGTCGTCATCGTCGTGTTAAGTGCTCCCAAACAAAGCGACAGTGGCTCTGTGGCTGTGTGTGTGTGAGCGATGATGCTGCAGCGGGCGCAGAGGGCTCGGATTTGGGAGAAGGTGTGGGGCATGCACGACGCGTGATTTCTGTGCAATTTAACCCCATTTTGCAGCCGGAAAAGCTGCAACGCCTAAGCACCCCCTTGCAGCGCTGACGCACACAGTTGCCCATCCCGCCCATCCGTCCTCTTACATCGCATTCCCCGCATTCCCCGCATTCCCCGCATACCCCGCATAACCGCCCAACCCCACAGTAGCACGGTGAGTGTGTGTGTGCAAGTTTCACTTTCCAGGAACAACGAAGCGGTTGACGCCTCACCAAGGAGCCGGCAAATTGGGCAGCCGGATTAGGAGGCCCCTTCACATGTCTGACACTTATTTGCGATCCCACTTGAGCGGCCATAAAGCCATGTTTCCTCGGTCGCAGGATGGGATTCGCCATGGGCCTTGCCCGAGCGTCGCAGCGGAGTAGTACAATCCAGAAATATGTAAATGGACTTGTACATAAAGCAGCTGCTGTCACAGACTCCAATATCTCGGCTGAAAGGTGAAAGCCGTTCTAAAAGCTTCTGTTTCCCTCACTAGAGGCGTCGAAATAGTTGGTAGTAAATAGAAAGTTTGATAAAATATTTATATGAACTATGGAAATAGTGCAAAAGACCACCAGGAACAGGTGGATTGCAGTTATTAGAGCTTATTAGAGCTCGCACCAACTATGTCAGCCAGTGATGGGTGTCTTCGTGGTCGTTGTCGTCACGACTTGGTGACCTTTTCATTCCCCAGCCCAGGATACTGCACATCTGCAGATTCGCATTCAGATCCCTGCAGACAAGCGACTAAAACTAGGCAGAAGAGAAGGCAAGCAAAGAAACTCATATCCTAAGTAATTTGCACAGACCGCTGGGATTGGGGTGGAAATGATGAGAGTGGCATGTGGATGTCTGCACAACAGGCTAATGAATGTCGCAGCACACAAGGTCCTGGTCCTGGTGCAGTAACTTAGGGCGACTCGGGCGGTATGGGTCAAACTGCACGGCTGAATTACTGTCGATCCATAAAAAAGCGGAGCGGAGCGGGAGGCCAAACGAAACGAAAAGTTTGAGACGCTATTGAAGCAGCCTCCAGGATGTGCTGGGTGGTGGGTGGCGAGGCGACTGCCAGGCAAACTTGTCTCAGATTGCGGGTGTGCAAGTATGAAAAGTGAAATGAAGTGAGCCAGGAGTGCGCCGGGAGTGGGGAGGCGTCTTTTGTTTCGTCCTTCGGCTTTGTGCTCCGCTCCTTCTCCTCCCTTTCTCGCCGTTCTTGTCCTGGCTCCTGTTCCCGTTTGTTCCTGCACTTGTACATGTGTCGCTCCTGAGCTCTGGTGTGGGTGTGGGCGTGGGTGTGGGTGCCCTGCCCAACTGCACTTGAACTACACAAATTGCAAGACAGGAGGCCTAGGCGCGAGCGATGGCAATGTGATAATCGGGACTGGGGATTCGGGGGACCTCAGCTGGGGGTTATGCCAAGACGCGTGTGTGTTGTTGGTGTGTGCGAGGTCTTTAAGGGATGCAAGCGGCTGCAGTTCGGGGTTCTTTCCCCCCCCCCCCCCCCCCTCACCCCTCACCCCCACACTTTGGACTTGTCTGCTGCTTAGACATACACCCGCAGAGACAGGCTCTATTTGCATATTCATATGCGCATACATGGCGTGGTACGTGCAAATGTGTACTCGATGTTTGCGTTGTGTAATGAGGGGACCGCCCTCCTCCTCCACGCCCTCCACCCCCTGCACTACCCCTCGTCAGTGAACCCTTTGGCCGGGAACTGTGTAAGTCTGTGTAAGTGGGGGCTCTTTGTGCGAGCGTTTCGTCCCTTTTTTTCGGGGAGTTTTCATTAGAAACTTTTTTTGCCAGCATCATTCAGTCAAAACAAAAAGGGTTCGCACCCTCAGCCCCCTAGCTGCGCTATCTACCCCACCAACGCCTATGTACAGGCGTACCTAATAGTATGTACACCGCTCAGCGCTCCCAGCCCCACCACTACCCCCACACCCCCCACACCCCCACACCCGCCGCGCAACACACACACACACACACACACACACATGGGGAGAGATAAACGCGAATGGCGATTTAGATATTTAGACATGCGTGTGCACACAACCCAGCGTCTGCAGCTGACATGTTTGGCTGACCAGCGTCCAACCCTTTCCCCCTCCGCCTCCCCCTCCCCCACCCCCTACCGCTCCACCACAGCCGCCTTGCCGCACAGCCCGCGTAACCCACGACAACTAAGCACGCTTAATTAGAAAGTGGCTGCGGTCGAGTTGGGGGAGTAGGAGGAGGAGGAGCAGGAGGGGGAGCAGGAGTGCGTCCCTTCATTTTTCACTTTTTTGGGTTCCTTTTTCTGGTCCCGAGTTTTGGGCTGGAAATTTCTGCTCATTACATGACTCGGCTCGCAAACGCAGATTGCGAGGGGGGCTGAGGGGGGTCGAGCGGTGGCGGTCGGCCTGCACATATGAATATTCGCATGCTGAATTAATCACTTGGGCTTTGGGTTCGCTTTGTTTTGCTTTCCTCGTGCTTTTCCAACGCCCGCCTAGTGCATCCCCCGCCTGACGAAACTCCGCTCGTGGCCAGCAGCAAACATTTGGCGCGGGGGCAACCACTCTAGGCGTATTTGGCGACCCACCTCCCCCTCATTACTATGCGGCAGATCGATAAAAAGTTGGTCCACTCCACGCCACGCCACTCCACTCTACTCTACTCCACTCCACTCCACTCCAGCGGAGCTGACGTGACGCTGGCGCCGACTGCAGTGCCCCATCCACATCCGCGTGCCCATCCGCCGATCCAGCCTCAGCCGGCGTCGACGCCACCACAATCGTCGACATGTGGGAAATGCGCACATTAAATAAAAAACTGCCCAAAAAAAAGGATCAGAATTAAAGGGTTACCACCTGGAACCCACCTCCTCCGCCCCGCGTGCTGCCATTGTATTTGGCGATTTCGAATCCGCGCCGCCCAACCAAACCAACAAACCACCGCACCTCCGCACCACCGCACCACCGCACCACCAACCTCGCGGCAGCTCGTTTTAGATAAGGTGACGGCGGTTGTTTGGCATTTTAATGCAAAAGTTTTTATGGCGCTGAAAATGATTTCAGCGATTGTGCTGTGTGTGTGTGTTGGCTCTGGCCAAGGGTCAGTGGGAGTCGCCACCAGGCCGGCACAGAAGTGCGGCAACTGTACCTAGGTACAGCTCGGGCCGGCGGAAACTATGCCCAGTCCACGGGCAACCGTCCGTCCGCCAAAGCGGTTTTAATCACCAGCAGCTCCGGGCCCAGCGCCCCGCAGTGAAGTCACAAAAAGATGAAAGGCGACGGCGACAGCGACTAAAATCAAAGACGCCATCTGTGCATCAAAGTCGGGTTTTAATCTCCAGCTGCAGCGTGCGGCATGCAGCATGCAGCATGCAGCCAGCAGCCGAGGCTCAACTGCGGAGCGGACATCAGCGTGCCGCCTCCGTCCGAATTTGGTGTGCTGAATGCAGAGTCCCGAAAGGGGTGGGCTTCGTGGAGCTGGTGGGGCGGGTGGTGCTGGTGGAGCGGGTGGCATCACATCGCTTTGAGCTCGTCGCCTGTCAGCGTCGCCTGGCACACAAGCGTGCAGCTGCGGAATTGCATGCGCAGCCACAAAGCATCTAACATGATTTTAATTACTGCACAACAGCCTCAAAGTGCCGCTCCTCGCCACTCCGCCGCAAATCCCGGTCCCAAAACGGATTCTGCCGCGGGCGCCACACAGAAGCCATCGCTGTGGTCTGTGCATCGCTTAATCCTGGCTTAGTTCCCCTCTTAAATCGCTTAGGTGCGCTCTTATCACTTGAAGCCGC